TTGGTATAGCAAAAAAGCTAATGGCCGATCTGACGGAAAGTAGCATGACCAACCATAGCCTACAAACAAGATCAGTATTGTAATTTCTATATAAAATATACATAACAATAATACATCTAATAAATGCCTCTCCAAACTGCAGGTACACCAAACTACAGTCTACTCCACAAGTTTCGTTACTTACTAAAGGTGTCATAATTTCAAATAAGGATTAAGTTACTCTGAAATTTCCAAGGCACTCCTGATGTATAATAATATAATATAGTGTAACATAGTGTGTGTAACACATGTGGAAGCAGGATTCTCGACGTCGGAGTCGCGACGGTCCCACTTTCAGTCGTGTCCAACAAACTCGTTAAAAGTTGGCGAAACAACGGAAGAGCCGTTACTTGGAGACACTTGCGACTCCCGACGTTAAGTAGAAAAGCATAACACGACAATAATATGAAACATTTTGTTGCCAGACACGACAACCCGATATTTAAGCTGATACGCAAGTTGCACGTTCATTTCCCGATTTTAAGACATATGAAAAGAAATCGTAGCGGTTTCTAATAAAGTATAATCTAAAATAAAGTATAAATAAAGTATATATTGTATAGTTAATTACCAATATCAATATATAAAAAAAAGAAAAACAGAATACAGACATAGTAGTAAAGGGTGTGCTATCCCCGTGATAACATCAAAAGTAATATAAAACTGAACAACTTGACTCTCTTGGGGTAAGTTGTTTGAATGTCCCTCATCGACATAGGCCTCAATCCTATAAATTAATTAACAAAGCCTATTCTGTGAATAATATTTACTAATATTTAAACTAATATCTGAATTTATCGTATTTTTTATGCAACTTAGAATGGCAAGCAAACTGACGGCCCACCTGGTGGAAAATGGCAACCGTCGCCTATAGACAGGAGCAGTGCCATGGACAAAACAGATCATACTGTTTCGCCCATGATACCCCCCATGCATTGCCATTCCTGAGTACTCAGGTGAAAAGCGATAAAATCTTATAGCAAATGACATGCAAACCATTCTTTAATATTAATGATTGAAGTATTGTATTTTCGTAATTAATTTTTATCTAAAACATAACTATCAAAGCAAGTTGGCAAAAAAGTAAATAAAGCTATCTATGCAAACAACGTTTATAGCTATACAGTCTCCCTTTGTTGTAAACTCATAGATTTGGTTTATTGTGAGATAGGCATAAACAGAACATTCTGAACAACCATTATTTTCAATACCTTTCTGGTTTTCGTCAGCACAATTTTATTATTACCTAATCTTCCGTAATCTTATCAAGCCTCAAAAGAATGGAAAGCAAACGTATGTTTATAAATAAATATTGTAGCTAATTCTTTTTTTTTTTCGTTAAGTACTAGGTATATTCATTATTTTATGTATTAAAATCTCATTGTAGTGTCGTGGGAATTCACTATTCTTTTAGTAGAAACTAGCATTCTCTATGCTCTTTTAACACAATCAGCAGCTACTCATGCATAGAAATAAAAATACAGAACACTACCGACTAGTGACAGATAATATAATAATAACCCACAAAACAATGGCTAGTGCCATTAAAATTATAAATATCCTGGCCTCACTAACTGCCCCAGTATTCCGTTAAGAGGATTCCCAAAGCTGTAAATTGCGTGCGGGAAATATTTACGAGACAGGCTTTCGCTGCATTACAGCGACTATGTGCATACATTGCAGCTCGCTTGTTGCAAAAATGCAACAACATGGAGCTGCTATTGCATTAACAACCGCGGCGAACTAGATAACTGCACTGTTTATTGGGTCACAGTATATTATTATAATATAAGGTTTTCTGAAAAAAGAAACTGCAGCTACTGCATAGAGGCCTTTATTTGATTGATACAAAGAGTTTCATTGTTAATAATTGTTGTGGATTTCAGAGATAAAATCGGTATAAACTTTAAAAATGATTGCTTGCTATGGTAAATATTAAATAATACATATATAAAATTAAGTAATAACTTCGTGATCGGCTCAAACAAGTGTGACAACTATTAATAAAAGATCACAGGTACTTCTTGTCATCGGGTCATTACATTATTTGCTATTCTAAGTGGTATAAAAAAACATATTCATCAGCAGTCACAAATTACAAACTTAAAACTTAAAAGTCTATGTCCTACTTCATCCCAAATTCTTTATGAAAGCCAAATTCCATAATAAATTAGTTGAGCTGTTAAGCGTCGAGATAAACAAACAAGCAAATTCATTTGTAAATGAATGAATATTATAAACTAATAATATAAACTAGCTGAATTAAAATAAAATTTGTCCTAAATATTAATCCATTGGGCCTGATTGAGTAATAAACACCAAGTTTATTTTTACAAAATTTTATATTGCAGATTATAAATATTAACAGATGAATTCAATATAATCTTAACTACAAATATTTATACCAAAATTCCTAACAGGAAACAGCTAAAAACCAAGCAGATTCTTTGTTATACTGCTGCAGAAGTCCGGTCACGAGAAAAAATGAGCAAAAACTGTTCGGCTAACCGCCAAGCGTTAATAAATTCCTCGAATTTGCGGCGAGAGGGAAAACCATGGAAAATGTTGAACCGGGTACCGAGAGAGTGTCCAATAATCGAACCAATATGCATGCGTGTATTATGATGTGCTCACATTTTTTTTTTTTTGGGTAAAAATAGCTAGGCAACATTTATAACACACCTCTTTTGTTTTTGTCACCGTTGCCATTCCTAACTGAAGGATTGAAGTGGAAAGGGATTTTTAGTAATGCGGATTATCAGTCTCATTGCTAACAATATACCCTAACAGGTCGACCTACCCGTGGTCCCTCCTGGAAACCATCGTGATGAATTCCAAGTGTATTCATCACAATGGACTAACGCTGGCGGAGCACCAATAAGAGATGATAGTTGAGAATGAAAAGGCAGGTCAATCAGCCATCCAGCTCATCGTGGTGAATACACTTGAAATTCAGCACGATAGTTTCCAGAGGGGACCATGTGGAGGTCGACCTAACAGAGTATGTCGCTACCAATGAGAGATAGTAGTCCGTATTACTAATAATCCTATAGGTATTTACTTATAAGACATGTATATGTAACTCAAAAAAGTTATTACCTTGTTTATAAAATTGAATCAAAAAAAGTATAGATAGGTACATAACTACCTTTTGAGAAATTTCTCTTAGTAAAATAAAGTCATAAATTGATTAGATTAAATAGTAAATGGCCTTCTGTATACATATAAAATGCTATGTTTCTAATAATAATTGGTCATCTATTGAAAGATAACAAACACACTCCGGCCTGCCATCTTTCAACATTAATTAAGTTTGGTAAAGTACAAATAATATATAATTATTAAACGGGTTTCACTCCGGTTTAATTAACTTTTACATTATCACTTCTCTAAAAACGTAATTAAAACAAGTTAATCCCTATTTAAATCATATAATTAAATATCTATCTATCTCGTGAAAATCAAAGATGTTTATTACACAACAATGAAAACAGCCAAATGTATAAACGTGTACCATCGACTACCATCATCATCATTACAGCCTCTTCATCGTAGGGGAGGAGATTTATTTTTATTTCAGTAGGTGTTAATAATCTTCATTGTTAGAAATATACTCTGTAAGGTTAACCTCCATCTACTCTTTGCTAACTATAAGGGTTAATTCCTTATGAATTTATCACGATAAGCTGAACTGACCCAACTGTACCTATAAAAATAATTTAAATAATTTTAGTTCTATGAATATCCTCGCTTCATCATCACTTGTTTTGTTCAATGCGGGTTTGTAAGAATGAGTGGATAGACGTGTTACTCTTTTACGCAAAAACTACTAAAAGAATTTAAATGAAATTTGATACGCGGACAGGTTATATCTTAACATAGTACATAGGATGCATCATACTGGTTAACCCGGTCAAAGTTGCGGGATACAGCTAGTTGAATAGTAATATTTATCTGAGAGTGTAGCCTATGAATGGGCATCTGCTACTAGCATATGTGTATTAAACAAGTACAAAATATTCTTATTCCAGCGTTACCCAAACACTGCACAAAATTAGATACGGTTTCAGAGTTTTATTCCTGAAACTTAGAATTCGTTGTATATTTTATCTTGATACGCCCTCTGGGAATGGTCTAATTTATTGGTTCAAAAACTACGTATAGAAAGTTGCAGGTAAAAACTAGTAAATAATAATTACAAATAATCCGGTAAGTAGAAATTTTTATTGAGGTTTTAAATGTTCACGGGAAAAACGAGATTGAGTTACAATTCGAATCTACTAAATACTGCAAAGTCGAAGCGATCACTCCTCTCTATCTTTTACTTCACCATTAAAAACTGTCCAACTTTAATGAGACCTGTCAATTCAGTGCCTCTTCCGCGGCGTCAAAAGACATCGGATCAATGTGGGATTAATGCGGAAAATCTTTGCACTCATTTCCTACTGACGGGAATCGAAGATAAGAACTTTAAAGAAATTTTTGAGTAAAACATTTTTGAGCCATCCAAAGGGTTATCTTGAATATTGTAATTATCTATATAATTAGAAAATGGTTGGTGTGTCAATAAGAACGAGTAGATCTGTTCCTAAAGAAATAAAAAAAAAAAATTCAACACGACTTGTCTATTCATGTAGTCTTAGTTTCAAGATTAAATTCTTACATAGTTACTCACTTATGTTATCCATAATTTTAAATATTACTCGAAAAAAGAACTACTTCCAATAATATGACATTATTAATATGGGATCAAAAAGAAACTCCCCCAAAAAAAAACGTATATAAATTCAAAACTAAAAATGATTTTATTTGTTATGAAATTACAGTTTCATATTTGCATGAACGAAACTCTGTAACAAAATTTTAATACATTATTTGTATAAAGAAAGCAATCTGGGAACTCTTAACATTATAGGACGTCCACTCTCAGTCGTAGTAGTAAAAGGCTTAAATGATTTATAAAGGCATTAATGTTGTCAATCCAGATTTTATTTTCAATACATTAGGTATCATGTTTTATCAAAAGTACAATTAATCAGAATACTTTCAAAGTTACAAACATTATGTACATCTTATCTAAAAAAATTCACATAGAGAATTCGTCAATCATATATTTATTGGTCTTCATTAATTAAATAATATTAAAATTTACAAACAAAACAGCTGAAAATTGTAGCTTTAGAATATTAGTTCTTATCAGTCACATTTAAATAAACATATAAGCGTTAGAATATTCATAATTCTACAATAATTGATAAAAAAAAATACCTATCTGAAATATTTAGCAATAATTAAATCATTCGTTGTAGTTGATACAATCCAGACCATGTTTTGGATTAAAGTACAATATTAATTCTAATACAAAATAACAAATTTATGTATATGTAAACGAGATTTACAAAGCTCCCATATCAACTAATATAATAATACATACAAAGATAGAACTATTTTTTAAATTATAATAACGTCAATCCCGAATACAATACATAGATACACAATCAATATCACATAAATACAATAAAACTATATCTAAATTAAAACTAATATCTTAATTAAACAAAACAGGTAGCTAAAACAAATCTTATACAAAATTCAGTCCATGGATACAATAAAACATAAAATACAATATATTGTGTGTTACAAGTCAACACATTTTAATAACAACTTTAACATTATGAATCACTGGAATCTAACGGTAATTTAGCTAATTCATGAATTGCTTCACCTTTTAGCTGCGGCAACATTGATACCTTAGCTAACGTTGCGTCCAAATACTTATTATATACGGCCTTAAACTTAGAATTCTCAACATTAATTACAACCTTTGCTATTTTTCTAATTATTGGTTTAATGTGGCTGAGTGAGTAAGTAGAATAATAAACCATTGTAGGGGTCCACACCTCATCAAGCTCTTTGGTTGATAACAAATAGAGAGAAAGGCAAATGGCTGCGGCAGCGAGCTCTGAAGGCCTATAATGAGCCATTGAATACTCCACAAGGCATAAGTCTACAAAATATTTGGCCAAGTGATGGTTTTTCGATGTCCCATGAGCTGCCTTCACAAATCTGTAAAATATATTAATTATTATTATAATTTATACATTATTGTACACAAAGATTACATATAATTTATTTTGTATAAAAAATTAACAACAGGCGAGCTTAACTTGTTACAATTCTCTTCCAGCAAACTTGAGCAAATTCAGCAAATTCCATAAAAATATTTTTTTTTTTTTTGTTGATGGAATAAGATTGTGAAAATGTCATAAAAGATGACTAAAGGAACAATGAAGAAATGCTAAAAAAGATAGCACATAACATGCATACAAAAAATGCAGTCAAATTGAAAATTCTTCTAATAATAACAATATATAATAACAGAAATATCTATTATAATAATTTCTCATGTTTATGGAATAATAATGGATATTGCTGATAATTGAAGACCTATTATTATGTACATACATTAACTTTAAAAAAATCTTAAGCTTTATTAACATAGTTCATATTTAAAGTTACGAAATAAAAACGAATTAATGGTATTTATTGCTCTTACCTCCTTAGAAAGCTAAGTGGAATAGGTCTGGCTAAACAGAATTTTAGTTTGGACATAATATCCCTCTCGCATTTGAACACATCAGATTTGCTGTAAGCATTGTCTGTTACGTATACAAAGTCTCCAACATCCGGTGCATAGATCTCTTCATATTTGCTAGCGATAAACATTGCTGTGATGCCAACTAGCTGCAACTGGTCGCGCTGGATGTTTGGCACTAACTAAAAATATATTAATTGTTTTAAGTAACTTGTAAATATTATTGTACTCGTATGTATTACATAGGCCTAGTCCCTTACTAAACAAAGCTTGTATTATGGGTACTAGTACTAAGAGACCTAGTCATATTTCCATTGTTTTCTTTTCAAAAACGTGTAGACCGGTGTTTCCCAACGTGGGACCCACGCTCTACAGGGGGGCAATTTGATAGTTAAGGGGGAGCGATTTTAACCCTCTTGCTCCGGGCCATTTAAATGCAATGCTATGAGTAGATATTGGTGTATTTTTTTTTTATATTTATAATATTATCAATATTATCGAATTTAACAAAAAGTGGTAAATTAAAAAAATGCTATAAATATTTATTACATATAATTTCGTTGACGTTACCAAAATATCAACTGGGCGATTAGAGTCGCCAAATAAACTTTGTCGGGAAAAATTATATATGGGGGCATAAAAATTTTAGAAATGTTCAAGTGGGGAATGTCACAAAAAAGGTTGGGAAACACTAGTCTAGACCAACACAAACAAAAACATTCATAACTACAAATGATTGTACTATGACCAACGCAATGGCAAATAGGCCAACTGCTCATCTGCTGCCCATCCCTCGAGGATTAAGTTCCCTTAGTCGCCTCTTACGAAAACAACGGGAAAGCAAGGGATGGTCTATTCTATGCCGGGACCACTGAGCCCATGGTATCAATCTATTGTTATGTTGATGGCTCTGAAGACAACACAACGTAATTCTGTAATATACATGATGCCGTTCATGTTTTTTAAAGACAGTTATCACTTTCCATCAAGTGGACAATTAGCTTGTTTGCTATGCTAAATATCACAAAAAAATAAGGTTTTGTATCTCCATACACACTAATTTCGTCGCCATATACCATTGTTCAATCCGAACACAGTACCGGGACAAAACCTAAATTGAATATAAACAAGGTACAGTAACAGTTTGCACCAAAGGGTCTGTCTCCCTTTAGTGATACAAATACTAATTAATTCATATGCTACAAGGACCATTTACCCTCAGACAGGCTGATACTTTCATATAAAAAAATATAAAACTCTTTTGGTAAAAAAAAAAGTAGAATTCCATCTCAGACCGCGAGGCAGTGGGTGGTTGCTCACGGCACATATGCCTTACGCCGCCAATGTACAATACAAAATTTACTTAAACTATTATACCTATATTCACCTGGCAACTCTAGGTTGTGGCTAACTGAGAGCAGGCAACTGGGGTGGATTTATTATATTTTTTCTTATTTTTCATTTAATCTAGCTTTTATTAAAGTTTTATGCTTGCAAAATCCAAAATTTAGACATTAGCATAATTATGCTAATGTCTAAATTTTTATTTTTGTTGCTAAGCAATTGCTTAGCAACAAAAATACAAAAGAAACAGAAGTTAAGAAATACAACCAACAACAACCTGAAATTAATCACAAAATTGATACAAACTGGTGTTTTTAGTTCTTTGCCAGTTATATTGAAAAATGTTTGCAATTTCTTAATTATTACATTAGAGTAAAATTTAAAGAAATACAATTCACTAGAGGGAGACTGTACAAAAGTCGTTTGCTTGAGCACCTCTGCCCATTCATGTTTCTACTGTGAAACAGTTGTGTTCATATGGCTGTATTTTGGTTTGAACAGTGGGATTTTGCAGTGAATTTACAGGGTACAGAGGAATAACACCCGAGTCCTCAGGAATGGCAATGCATATCATGGGCGAAACAGTATACTCTGTTATGACCATAGTACTGTCCATGTATATAGGAGATAATTACCACTTTCTATATAAACTATATTAATATTACATGATAACACTTCTAATTTTACCTGATTACCATCTATGTGAGATGATCTACTCATAGTCAGAAAATCAATGGAAATAATATTTATACATATAAACAGTATTTACCTGTAAATATCGATCAATTATTCCAACAGTTAAGTGCAGTGTCTCTAATACCAGTGAGAACTGACGTTGAACCTCCACCAGCCAGTCTATTAAGGTCGCTCTCATTTTACCAGTGAGAACAATCTGAAATAATCAATGATTAAGAGTATACAATTATTACTCACTAGTAACTGACCATGGCTTCACAAGATTCTTTTATTAAATTATGTAGATTATGTAGCTTTCTATGGGTGAATTTTTTAAATTGGATATTTATTTTAGTTTTTTTTTATACCACTGAGATGACAATCAAGCATACGGCTCACCTGATGGTAAATGGTTACCATAGCCTATGAACACCTGCAATACTAGAGGTATTACGCGTGCGTTGTCGACCCTGATGAAACCTCTACACCCCCCCCCCCCCATTGAAGAAACCTGTGCTGTAGTCTTTTGGGAAAAGTTCGGCAGGGAGTTCATTCCATACCTTAGTGTTCGTGGGAGAAATCATCTCTGAAACCGCGCTGTACGCGACCATTTAGGCTGTAGGACATGAGGATGAACTCCCTGTCGATGGTGAGCCGTACGATGGTAGAAAATGGCAGTGGGCATCATATTATACATCCTATGAACACAATCCGTTGTACAAGCGGTAGAACACGCAGAGTAAGGCAAAATCTCTCCTAAGACTTCTGACTTCTAAGGGTTCGATACCGTTTGTAAGCCTGGGATCACGGACAATTCTCAAGACATAGCACGTTGTTGCAACGAGTCAAAGGGTTCAAGCTGGTATTTAGATGCTCCTACCCATAAGTGACAGCAATACTCCATGTGGGGCTGGATTTGCGATTTGTAGAACATAAATAGCTAATCCGGTGTGAAATAATGCTTCCCTCTATTAAGCACACCGAGTTTTTTGGATGCCAGCTTCACCTTATCTTCGAAGTAGAAGGAGGAATACTGGTACGACCCCTATAATGGGTATCCCCAGTGCATCATTATAAACAAAAAATCTAATTTTTCCTTTTTAGTTTATAAAAAAAAGGACATTAAATATTGATGAAGCCACAAAAATGCTGATCGTCGTTACTAAAAATTAGATATATATTGAGGCCTAAATAGAATATTCAGGCGATTTGAATAGATTTTATAATTGATAATATATATTGCACTCCAAATCACACTAGTATTTTATTCTAATTCTTATCAAAATAATTGATCTTATTTGGGGATAAAATGGTTGTAAGCTCAATAAATAAAGATTTTAAAAATTTATTATAAAAATCTGCTAATAATTTATAGATCTAGAAGCATATTTACAATACAAATATGTATAGGAAAAGAAATTAATATATTGCTCTTCAACCTATTTATATAAATTAGTTATATATTATTTTAAACCCTATAATATAAATTCTAAGCATAATACATACTACAAATTAAAAATAGTACTGTTTTAATTTACAAAATACCTACATACCTAGTAATACCTTCATAATTTTTGCAATCACTTATACTATATACTCTATGTACAAATTTAATTGTAAATATGGCAAAAGCAAATACCTGAAATTTTAAATGGTCAGGTTCAATTGGGTACTTCTCTTCAAGTTCTATCAAATAATTGTAAATGTCTTTGATATAAATGGACATAAGAAGAGGGCTATTATTATCACTAGCATCAATATCTTCAATGTCATCAGGAAGTTTTGGTGTGTGGCAATGAAAGGTATTCTTCTCAAAGAGTGTTTCTTTTGTCTGTCCATTGCTATGATTAATTGTTGCAGTGCTCTTCTCTTTATATGTAGTGGTCTCAACCAATTTAAGTTTCCCCAGTGAGTCTGTTGATTCTTTAAGAACAGGTTTTAAAGCTTTTGTTTCTTTATTGTTCTCTTTCAATATTGGTAGCTTTGTATTCCGTTTAGTAATTTGTGTAGATTTCTTTGCTTGTATTAAAATATTGACATCCCTGTGTTCAGTTTGATTATCAGCAGTTTCTTTCAATACAGCCTGAAACATGGAATTCATCAGATATTAATTATATTAATTGTAGCGTTATTCATATGACAATAATATTAAAAAAACCTATTGCCATCATACCATGTCCTTTAGAAGGTGAAAATAATCAATATAATACTATAAATGATTGTTAAGTGTACAGTCTTATTAATGTTTAGTTTCAGTCTATATTACTACATATGTTATTACATTATTATATAAATAATGACTGGTAAGTTATTTCTAATTTATAATTATTATCTTATGGCCTTGTGCAAACCATTCACTCATTTTTAATTCCAGAAAAGATGTAGCCCAATCAAAGACTCATATAAACTTTTTTTTTTATACAACATAGAATGGCAAACAAGCTGACGGCCCACCTGATGGAAAGTGGTAACTGTCGGCTATAGACATGAGCAGTACCATGGACATAACAGAGTATACTGTTTCGGCCATGATACCCCCCATGGGTTGCATTCCTGAGGACTCAGATGTTATTCCACTGTACCCTGTAAATTCACACCATATCCCACCCTTCAAATCGAAACACAGCCATGCAAACACAACTGCTTCACGGTAGAAACACGAATTGGACAGAGGTACCCAAACAATCGACTTTTGTACAAAATCTCCCTCTGGTGCTCTGTTTGCTCCCAGCTAAGAAAGCATTACTTAGTTCCTGAGGTAGACACAGCCCACTCAGGGGGAAAGGGATTATTAGTAATGGAGACTAAGAATCCCATTGCTAGCAATATACCCAACCAGGTCAACCTCCTCGTGGTTTTCCCTGAAAACTATCATGGTTAATTCCTGATGAATACATCATGATGGGCTAACTGGCCTGTTTCCATTCTCATCTATCACCCTTCACTGGTGCTCCGCCAGCGCATCCCGTTAGTACTGGCGGGGTACCACACCATGTTTACCCTAAAAAAAAAAAAAGACACAGCCCACCTGGCTCTCTTTAAAGACTTTTATGGTCTTTACAATTTGTGTTTACAAAGCCTGACTGATTGTCAACATGAGGTAAATAAATAGTTTAATAACTTATGTTAATATCCACCAAACTATATTAATGTGGTATACTATATTAAAAAAATTAAAAGTAACCATTATTCATTCATTTAACACTATGATTTCCTGGCTTTGCCCTCATGAATCTGGATATAAAGTATCCTAGGTGTTTAGATATATCCTACTTGTGTCCCAAATTTCATTCAAATTCATTCAGTTGTTTAAGTATGACTGAGTAACAAACAAACTACCACATTTATAAAATTAGTAGGATTAACACACCCTGGTTCGAGCAACAGCTCTAGCAGCAAGGGAAGCAGTGCTCTCCTCACGGCGTAGTACTGGTTTTGATGGCTGCTGTACTGACATATTCTTGCTTACAAGTCCAGTATCCACTTTCGACTGCACATGACTGTAATTACTGCAGCAATATTACAAAAGTCTATCAAAATATTCTGAAATAATTATTTCCACATTTGGACCTTTACATCTTGACAATAATTTTTATAAATATGGTCACTAAAGAATAAATAAATTTTCATAACTCAAAAAATATGCTATGAATAAAATTATACAGTCTTAGATAGTACAAAAAAAACTTGTTAATAACCAAACTAAACCTGGATTAATAAGTAAAGATTTAAACCTAACATAATATACGAGGTCTGTCCGGAAAGTTCGTATAAAAGTGTTCTGGAATGCGAGAAAGAGGAGTGGGGAGGCCAGGTAAGCGCAGGACCCCTTCCTTATGTCCCTAACAATGCTTCAGTTCTGGTCTGACCGCCGTGCGGTGCGAACTGGCTTTTCACGCCATCTGTGAAGTTACCTCTTAACGAAACCCCGTCGGATCAAAAATCACGAAGAGTTGCTTGCTGTGAGGACTGGTTGGAAGCCGAAGAGAATGGTGACTTTTTGAACCGAGTCATCACTGGAGATGAGTCTTGGTTCTACGAATTTGATGTCGAATTAAAATCCCAAAGCAAAGAGTGGAAGACATCCGGGGAACCACGAACAAAAAAATCAAGAAAATCCCGCTCAAATGTCAAGACAATGTTGATTGTTTTTTTCGATGTTCGGGGGATTGTCCATCAAGAATTCGTCCCTCCAGGCCAGACAGTTGATGGAAAATTCTACGTCGATGTGCTCAGACGCCTCAAAGCTCGTGTGGCACGAGTTCGTCCAGAATTGGCGCGAGAGGGGCGTTGGATTCTTCACCACGACAATGCCCCTGCCCACACCTCTCTTGTTGTCCGTGAGTTTTTGAGTAAAAATTCCATTACGGTGACCGAACACCCCCCTATTCGCCGGATTTGGCCCCGTGTGACTTCTTCTTGTTCCCAAAAACCAAATTGGTACTTCGGGGGCGGCATTTGGGGGACATAAATGAGATAAAAAAAGCTACGACGGGGCAGCTGAGAAACCTACAACCAGAGGACTTTCAAGGAGCCTTCTCACAGTGGAAACGGCGTTGGCACAAGTGCATTATGTCACAGGGGGAGTACTTTGAAGGGGATAAAATTGATTTACCTGAATAATTGTAAAATAAAATTTTTAAAAAACTTTTATACGTACTTTCCGGACAAACCTCGTATAGCATAAATGTACAATTGATTAATTTTTATTCTACTTACAAACTTCCACTAAGTCTGTGGCATTAGATTTTTTATAGCCATAAAGAATAGAAAAAAATAAAGAAATAATAGAAATTATATAAAACATATTTAAAAAATTGATTTTATTAATTATTATTAATTAAAAAAATAATGTCAATGAAATTTCATTATGTTATAACATTATTCTTTTTTTATATATAAAATATGGTAATAATACATAATTGTTTGTAAATATGAAACAACTTAAAATTGACGTACTATTAAATAAATGAAATAATATCAACATTTTGTTAAACTAGGAGGTAGGTTTCAAAATTATTACTCACCGAGTTTGACAACGGTTTACAATAGCTTTTTTCTCAAATTCAGCAGCAGTAATAGCCACTTTCCCTTTATTATTCTCACGCTGAGCTTGGACATTGTGATCCAGTTCTCCCAAAACACCACGAACACTATCTTGCCGCTTGCTTGGTAAGACCATGGTAGTTTTAGTCTTATTAAAATGCCCGTTCTCTTGGTTGGCAACCTGAGCCTTAAAATATATAATAGAAATTACAAGTGTTTTTAGACTACGAAAATAATATTTCAATGATATCTCCTCGAAATAATTTTTAACATATATTTATTAGCAACATACCGATCTGAACCGCCGTACGTGAATATCCATGTCTTCGTAAAATTATTAATTTTCTCTGTATAGTCAACAACTAAGCACAACGGCAACAATGTACGGCTGTTTTGATTTCAATAATCTTGGTCTTGCTTTTTATATAGAGTTGGTTCTTGGTTCTTGATTTCACTACAGGCACAGTTAACGGCCACCAATAAACAGACCTATTCAAATTTCTAGAAGGTAACGGTTTTTTTTATTTTTTATTTTTTAGTCTCCATAAACAAGCCAACATAATGTTCAACCATAAAGTAATGGAGACAATGGCTCGATTCTGAGGCACCACTTTTCAAAAATTATTTCTTAACCTAAATTTAATAAATTTGCGAAATTCCATTTATGAACTGTCATAAACTAAATTCGTAATAATGTTTACTTAAATTTATTATAAATTTAATTCAGATTGGTTCTTAGAATAAAAATTTCGTTGTGATATCAAATAGAAATTTTAATTTAAGACAGATTTAAAAAGAATGATGTCTCAGAATCGACCCCACTAAAGTTGATTAATTTCTTATAGCAGCAAATAATTATGATAGCCGAGAATTAGTCAATATTTGCTGTTAATTTTTTTTTAATTCACTTAAAACAAGTTCGAGATCAACTAAAAAAGGTTGACCTAATTCAGAATAGTACACAGACATACAGTACCATATAATAGAGTTAATAGAATTCGTGGGGTGAATTGTAAAAATGTGGAAAAACATTAAGGCCTTTCTTCATATTTACCATGCATACGATACAAATGATATCTTAACAAACATTTGTACTTAAATGTTAAATAGATTTTTACATTTATCAGAATGAGAATGTACAAAAGTCAAATATTTGGGTACTTCTGTCCTATTCATGTTTCTACCTTGAAGCAGTTGTATTTGTATGACTATGTTTCGGTTTGAAGGGTGGGATATGGCAATGATTTACAGAGTACAGAGGCATAACACCTTGGACCTCAGTAATGGGATTACATGGAGGGTATTATGGACGAAGCATGATATTATGTCCATGGTACTACTGTCACTTTCCATCAGATGGATCGTCAGCTTGTTTGCCGTTTTCAGTTGCTTATATTTCAAATTCTGTGAAATAATTTTTTTAGTTACTTTTTCATTTTGTACGCTGTTACTAAAATAATGACACCAAACTGGTTTACATAGATTTAATGCCTAATATAAGAGTATCTAGTTACCTTATATTATACTACTTACGTACAAGACTTATTTACTTTACAAAAATGACAATCCTAGCAATTTTTCTAATAACCTCCCTCTCATTCTTATTTACCACAATCTCGAGGTGTATAGAAAATGAACACATTTTAGATTTCAGAAAAATCAAAGGTTAAGTTAATAATATATAGACATAAAGCTCATGATTTCGGATCGTATGCAAAATTATCAAAAGTAACTACAGATATATTAACATTATTAAATTGAAAAAAAAAAATTAAAAGAAGTTACAAATTGTTCCTATTTAAATCGTCCTACGATACTTAATATTATGTTGCTTTATAAACAAAGGCATTATAGGTATACAGAAGTTATCTACTATCTACTAGCCTGTTATGAATTGAGAAAAATAGCAAATGATAGTGTATCTTTCGTCCTCTTTTTACTAATTATATTTGCATAATAAGAAAGGAGAGACAGTTTTTATTTTACCATTTAATCTATGTAATTCCTTGTTCTTAGGGCTATTGCAAATTTTGTTCCTGCCACTTGACATTGACACTACTGGTGGAAAGATAATGACAGTTTACGTATGATTTGACGTTTTGTGGCTTTTATTTTCTTTACTTTTTCTCTTTTGCGCTTGCTTCAGCCAGCATTAACTGTCTGTGGCTGAAATAAAGCACATATAACCTAATTAAATTATTGGATTTTGATATTTACCGCTGCAGTTGTGATAAAATAGTTTATTGATTGAAAATTCAATAGTTTTTATCTACACCATACCAGAAATCACGATTTTATTCAAATGTAAGATATTTTTCATTCTGTTTAAATGTCTTATAGTGTGTTCGACTTCTAATAAATAAAATTTTTATTGTTGTGCTGTAGTATTTACGACAATGGTGCAGAAGGGACCTCGTCCTTTAGTATTGTGTGGACCTTCGGGGTCTGGGAAAAGTACATTACTAAAGCGCCTCCTAAAAGAATTTCCTGATAAATTTGGATTTAGTGTGTCTCATACAACGAGAGGCCCCCGGTCTGGCGAAAAAGATGGTGTTCACTATCATTTCACAACAAAAGAGGAAATGATGGCTTCTATCGCAAGAGGAGAATTCTTAGAGAGTGCAACATTCAGTGGGAATATGTATGGTACTAGGTAAGTACATTTAATTTATTCTTTACATACCCATGTGCTTGTTGTTTTGAGATAGTGGGCAGCATGCCAAATAATAAGTTTTGAACATATAGTAATATTAATTGTTTACTTTCTGGTGTAAGTAAACTGTTTTTCCGCTAGCTCCAAGTATCTATAAATACTTGGCAAATTCTAAAACTATATATAAAAAGATTGCAAGCTTATTTGTGAATGTTTGTTTCTCAAAATTATGAATCTCACATCATAATCATAAATTTAAATATTTTAATTATTTTACTGAAGGAATTATATTTGTAAATAGGTAATCTATTTTAAATTCACAGTAGATACTTAAAATAATGCAATTACAGGTATAATACCTACATAACTAATTTTTATTGTCAATATTTCTGTGTGGCTTGTACCACATCATGGTCATGGTTTAAATATATCTAATATATTGACTTCTATATTTTCTAGTACATGTTAAAATCTAATTTACATGTATTCTTTTTCTCATGAGTGGACATATAAATTATTGACAAATATTAATGAACTAAATATATAATATCTATATGAAATATATTTTAACCTAAAGTCAACTAATTTTAAATTGTTCCTAGATGTATCTAGGAAATACTGAGTATTTGTAGACAACACCTGGGTGGAGATTATTGCCCTGTTTTTATTTATTTAATGTAATTATCATTAAATATTGTATGTAAATTCCAGTAAACGAGCTGTTGAAGAGGTTCGTCGTACTGGTAAGGTCTGTGTCTTGGATATTGATATAGAAGGTGTCAAACAAGTGAAAAACACAGATTTGAATCCATTACTTGTATTTGTGATGCCTCCTTCTATTGATGAATTAGAGAGGCGTTTACGAGCCCGCAACACTGAACATGAAGAAGCTTTGAGGAAAAGATTGGATACAGCTATAAGAGAAATTGAATTTGGTAAGAAAATATCTATTATTATATATTTAATGAGTATATCATTTATAGATTTTTTATAATGTTTTAAACTAGCAGTACCAGCATGTATATTTAAAATCCATTAATTCTTAAATCCATTTATATATGTTCAAAGTTTATAGTGCATAGCAATTCACAGAGGAGCATTCATGTTTATTAAATGATATATGGAATTTCAAAATCAAAATCTTTAAGACAATTTAGACAATGACATTTCAAAAGCACCCCTACTGTTACTGTTAAGTAAAACTATTCATAAACCAAAAATAATTAGTAAATCACCACTTTCATTCCATATCATACATTTTCAAGTAATTAGGCATTTCTTCTGTAATATTTTCAGGTCAACAGCCTGGAAATTTCCATATTATTATACTTAATGACACAGTGGATAAAGCATATGCAGAACTTCGAGAATTTATTACACAGAATGTCGAAGATAAAGATCAAGGTGAGAATTGTCATGCATAAATTTGGCTACAATCATAATTTAGCTTTTTTATTGGGTGATAATGGAATGGTAATCCCTCTCATACTATTGGTATACATTGGGAGGGCATCAGTGTGGGATGATTGGTGAGGATGAAAAGGCAGGTCAGTTAGCCTATTGTGATGAATTCAACAACAAATTAGTCAAGATGATTTCCAGGGGGAACCGCATGGAGGTCACCTGATAGGGTATATTCAAAGTAAAGGGAGGTTGCTTCCCAATATAACAATCCCTTCCCCCCAACAATCATAGTAAAACAGGAAAAATTACATTGTGTATTTGTTTTACTCATTTATATCAATCAGTTACTATATCATGTTTATGATATATTCCTTATGGCAATTTATGGAGGAGACCTTCATAAAGCATAAGAGTTCAACAGTGTACAGATAATGGCTGAGATGATGATAATGATTCATGATTATAGTATTAATAAATATTATATTTGTCCATTTACTTTAAATTCTAATTTTAAATTCTGGTTAGCAATGTTAATTATATTATTAACTATATTCAAATGGCTATTGTACTACTTTAAAACTAGCATTATGGACAGAGATAGGTATCCCTGCATAATAAAACTTAATTATGTTACACTAGTATTAAGTTGAAAATTTTAAATACTTTCAACTGAATGTTTTTATTAAATACTTGTAAGAATCATTTTTATTAAATTTGCCTCAAATTGCTATAAAACTAATTTACATTCACTAGCTAATAAGCATAATAAGTTTTATACCATGAAATGTAGTTTGGCTTACAGATTCACATGTTTGCTTATTAAAACAAAATATTGCATACAGTTGCTATTAACAATGTAATTTTCTATGAATTAACAAATTTAGAACAGATCTATTTTATTTTTTATGTAATATTATTACACATTCATAAAAGTTGTTTATATACAGTTTACAGACATACTAATTGCACGTAGCATGTTGATTATAAAAATTTTCTTATCTTATATTATACATTATATATGATTTATAATTAACATGCAACAGCCTAGTTATATATTCAATGTAAAATCATTATTTAACCATAAAAGTAATATAAACTATTATTATTATAAATTATTACTAGGATTTATTTTTCAATGTTTTTACTTAATTTAACTTTGAAATTTAAGTATAGTATAATTAAGTGACATGATAGAGATTGTCCCATCCAACTTTAATTATATTAAACTTGTCTTTCTCTAAAAACGTTAATTGGACTATTAATAATAAACATTAAAAAAGAAGGTGCAATATATACCTAGTGGCATGATATCCCTGAAACTTCATCACTACATTATAAAATGTTTACAAATGGAATGGAGAGGATACGGTATAAACGTGAATAGCGAATACATCAATCATCTTCAACCTACTCATGATAATTGCTATGTTATCATAGCGTAATGTAAAATTTTAATTTTTAATTTCCCCATGAACACTTCAGTTAAGAATTGTAATATTTTTTTTCGTCGTCAGGGGGGTGTCATTAAAACATGCCTAATAGCGCCAAGTACGCTAAAACTGGCACTGTTCCTCAACAGTTTGTTATTAAGATATATAAGTCTAGGTTTATATTTAATATCTGTGTCACTTGTTGTTGGAAACTACTCATATTTGTCGACGAATATGTATACCTGAACCAATTTGTCAGATTAAGTTCAACTTCGACTGAGAGCTCAGTTGATGATAACTCGGTTGGACAACGTTCGGGGAACTACGTTACATCTACGCATTCAAATATCTCTAAGTTCCAAAGTGAGTTATTAAACAGTGTGATGACCACTAATAATTTATAGAATTGAGACATGGCCCAGATGCGCAGTGAGCTGTAATGAGGACTATACTTAATGCTTTATATGCATGATAAAATGCAAAATGAGGACATCTGCAGAACCAAAGCGACCAATACAGCCCGAAGAACAAGCAAACTAAAGCAGCAATGGGTCACTACTTAGTTTGTACAAACAATGGATAAAGAAGGTTCTAGTAATAAACTATATATGTCAACCGCAGTCTAGGACCCCCCCCCCCCTCCACACTAGATAAAGCGACAAATACAAATATGTTAGATGAAGTCAGTGGAGGCAGGTGACTCAAACTCGACCCCTATAAGAGTCTGGATGAGGCCTATGTTTATTAGTAGCTAATTAATAGTTGAAATAATGAACCGTTATACAATTAAAATTGTCAATTGTTAAATTATTATTTTAAATTATCTCTTTTCATTCATAGACTGCGATATCAGCTGGGCAAAAGCCTCCTCCATCTAGATCCAGTTTCCACAGTCACCGTCTAATCACTGCATACCAGTTCAATATCAGTTTAGTTGACGTTGAAATAGGTCGAGATTTTTTATCTATTGTATTAGCGGTCTACTAATATTTCATTTTGGAATTTGGAATGCATTTGGAACGGCATGAGACTTGCGTTCAATTGATTTTATATTCATGTGATTGTCGTTTTGTATAAAGACTATTCTACCAAGTATTTGTATTGAGTATGCTTTAAAGGGTACATATTATCTTGCCAAGTTTTATAATACTATGAAACACCTAGCATTATAATTGATTTTAATTATAATGCTGATATTTAAATTAACAGACTAATTCAGCTAAACTATTAACCAAACCCCCAGTGAAATTAAACAAGTTATTGACAATTTTTTTACTTTATTCTAAATAGATAGGTGGTGATGCGATTGGTACTCCTCACTCACACTGCAAGAGTAAAGTTATAATATTACTAGATTTTGGTAATATATCCTTTCCTTTCACTTAATACACTGGTAAATCTGATTTCCAGTGTGTGTGTGTGTGTGTAGATTTCTAACAATACTAATCGTTTTCGACAGACACAGTGGCTGATGAAAACAACTCGATTGAAAAGTGAAAAACTTGCATGAAGGAGCATGATTTTGGCAGCTAGAGAATTTTTCGAGCAACAATTGCACTCGTTTTTAACGTTACTCTATAATGAATGTTAAGTGTTTAGTAACGATGTAATTTATGTATTGCCCCAAAATATATAACAACAAAAGATTTTAAATAAATAATAATGCAAACTACCTCCTAAAATGTGTAGTAGTCAGTATTTTAAATGTAAATGTTAGAAAATATAAGAATGCTTTAAATAATAATAGTTCTTTTTGCGAGCATTAATTCTTGTTATATGTATATTTTGGTGCATGTTTAGTATTTTTATTCTAATGTAATTAATAAGCAAGTGTTTAAGCTTCTAAAGTCTTAAACACCATAATGTTGCCATAAATTTTAAATGGCAGATCTACTTTAAATCTAACGCGCGCAAATTGTGATTACCTTTAAATTTTATCCGGTACTACGGTAAAACCGAGGTTTCTGGTGTGTACTGAAACAAAAAATGTTTGTTGGCCTTGAATAAAACGATCATTAACTGAATAAAATGCATAATCGTAGAATTATTATTTGTTAGAATATTAAATACAATTTTAGTTTAAATATTAATACCTATGAAATCAATGTATGAAAATAAACTTCGTCACATAAAAAAGCGCTACTAATTTTTAAATGTTAGACAAAGAATTGCATTGTTATTAACCTATAGATAGGAGTGGTAGAATCAGTAGTATTTATAATAGCTATTATTATATAATCATAATTATTGTGATTTGTTGGGAATATTATTTATGTAGGCGTTGAAAATAATTACGTTATGAAATCCTTCCCATAAACAAAAATTTCAAGAATTCTTGTAATTTTGTGCAATTTTATGGGTTCTTATTATTATTAGGTACTTAAGATTTCTTTAAGTCAAATTGTAATGATTTAGATTGATTAGCATCCTAATTGCATGTACAATTTTACTCGAAATTATTAATTAAAAAAAAAGCACCATTCGAAATACAGTAATAAATATGTTATTAAACACAAAAATCAGCGTACCTAATTAGGATTCTTATTGGGAAAAATATCTTAATATATAGTAGAATTTAGAAATTATTATGCTTGAAATTGTGAAAAACAGAAAATAGTAATTTTTGTTAGTGTATAACTTTGAAGAACTATAAAAACACTACAAAACCGTATGTAATATAGTGCCAAATTAAAAAACTTAAAGTTCTAAGTATAAAGTTATCATTAATGGTTTTGTCTAAAATGTGGTGAGAAAAGTTAACAAAAAAAGAAATGAAAGCTGTAATACTTTCAAATTAGTTACCTTGAAAAAATTTAAACGATATACTAAATAAAACAGTTTTATTAGATATTGATGAACAATTAATTAAGTATTTATAATTTTTCAATATGTCCATATATAATTTATTCAAGCGATTACTATATGGTATTGAGAGAATGATACATTTAAAGACTTTTATTCATATACACAATAATTCAGAATCTCTTTTATCTGACTTTTTGATAAATATTTTTAATATAAAAAGCAATGTATTCTAACCTCTAAAATTATTGAAAGTGACATGGACTAATAGATGACGGTTTATGGCCTTGGATGCCATATCTTACCTAGCTTGAAACAGTAATGCATGTGCTATGTTTCTGCAAGAGTTAAATCTATATGCATAGGTATATTTTGTAAAGCTGGAAGCTTCTTTGGATGTTTCCTAAACTATACAATGATATATTTTACTAACCCAAATTCAATAGTTTATTCTTGTAATTTGAAAGTGCATGCGATATTGCTTTGAAATTGGAAACGTTTTTACCGTATCCACTTATATTGCTAATTATTACTACGTATATTAATAAAAGATTATATAATAAAAATAAACCTATGAAATATTGTTTTAAAATAGATCACCATCTATTTAATCATATTCTCTTTTCTGTTATATATCTCATCCGTCTATATTGAATAACATTTTATCTACCCAATGAATTTACCAAATCGAATTGTATAGACACAACTTATGTGTTAAATAGTGTAGATAAACATATTATCAATATCTCAATAGTATTTGTATTAATTATATAAACACAGCTATTTATTTTCTAAGTTAATAATCTAAATAATTGTTACATAGATCATTATGTTAAGGCATTTATGATGTTTGTCGGTAATATGGATTTAAAAACATGTTTAGACTGTCATAAACCACTCATAAATAGAATGATTCCTCGCATCATGTTTGTTTGGCAATTATATATTTATACATGAATCACTTCTGCTTTTTTGCCATAACAATATACCTAAAATCCTGTACATGCAATTGTATGATACTAAATTTAGTGTTAGTTAAGTGCTTTATTTCCATTATCTTTCAGTATCATAATATATTATATAGTACTCATAATATATATAAAGGACTAGTAGTCAGTACAAATGCAATAAAAGGTAATGATCATTATGTTCTATGATCTGAATACCTAGTATTTAATGTATATTTTGAATGCTCGGTTATGAATATCTGAGTCCCTAGTAAATTTACACAGATTTACATTTATGTTTATAGTACAGATGGATTTTATTAATAGTTGATATATTTTAATTTTTAGTTTTTCGAGGGCTGTAAGAAGAAAATACAGAGAAACTAATCATCATGAGGTAATATTGAGATTAACAGTCTATGTATTTTAATGGGGCTTAATTTTTAACAACTAAATCATCTCCATTTCGACATCTTAATTTTAAATCATTCCATATAAATAGTTTTGATGCAATATTTTTAACTACTTTTGTGATTTTTTTTTTTTTTTTTTAATAAAGTGTAGTTACTCAAATAAACATTCTGTACTCAATGAAGTAGTAGTAGAGATTTATGTATGTAATAAAAATGTTGAAACAAAGAATAAATTTATTGAAATGTCAGCTTATTAGTATTTTACGATTATTATTTAGAACCGATACGACAACATAACCTTCAAGAAAAGAGTATATTCCTTTTTAAAAGGCCGGCAGCACACCTGCAATGCCGCTGGTGTTGTGGGTGATCATGGGCGGCGGTAGTCACTTACCATCAGGTGAGCCGCATGCTCGTTTGCCCCCTGTGTTGTAAAAAAAAAAAAAAAAAAAATTTTATTAAATCACCTTTTGCATTGAATCGTAACGACATGAACAGTGACAAGACCTAAACTTTAAATTCTGTCGATGTTGAAGATTAGTAGTACTTTGTGGAGTCGATCATTTTTGTAGGCAAGTGAGAAGAAAAACTATTTTCTTACTTATAATAATCCGTCTAATTGTGAATAGTATGTTATTTATGTATTCCGAGTTGAAACTACCTACACAGCTGTCACATATTTCATGTTGTTAGGTACTTACATAGTACCAAATTACAGTTCTTAAGTTTTTCTGATGTCAAATACTCATACTGAGATCTTGTATACAAATGGTAACGGCAACGATTAAACATGCAGGTTATATAATTACATATTGGTTATAAAAAAAACTTTTTCGGTTAAGATAATCCTCAGTCGCGAACACGCATTAAATAAAAAATGCAGGTAAGTAGGTGGTGAAACTGAAAGTAATAAAAAAGCGAAACATTAATTTTCTTAGAGACGAATCGAAAAACTTTAAAAAAAATATAGCTACTTATTTTAACTGCTAGACGCACCGTGTATGTAGTAGAATACTTAGTGATCTCCCAATGATATTTAAAGTATGATTTTGATTTCACAGTGCGAATAGCAGGCCTTTTAAACACCAGTACATGTAACGATACACAATTTTTTAAATGGTTTCCCTAGACGGTAGCTTATGTACCCTTGAAGTAATTGTCTGTCAATTATGCAATTGTTGAGATAATACAAAAGAGAAATTACATGTTCACATGACTAAAAATTATTATTAAAATAACTCTTGAAGTATACACATATTTTATTGTCAGATCTTATAAAACTTATTGTAGATTATTTAGACTATATTATAATAATCATGATATCAGTTAAATGAAGTGAATATAATTATTAAATCAACATTCCTATTAAAAAGGGAAAATATAAAGTGGGAATAAAATTTGATTAGACAAACTTAAATAATAATTATTATTTAAAGTAATTAATTATTACAAGAGAAATAACAATTTATTACATAATAAATTTTAAAGCACAATACTGCTATTCTTGTCCCATTTATCACGATGTGAGTGTGGAGGTGTATTTTCACAGTCACCACCTAATGTTGAGGTTTTGCCTATGGACTTTAAAGATATGGTACTCCCTGTTGAAACAACTTTAATCGGTTTTGATAATGATTTCAATCTAGGTATATGAGACACCCTTCTAGAAACTTTTGATGGACCTAGAGGATTCTTTGGGTCATACAAAGTATTTGCTGATTTTGATCTTGAATGTCCAGTATCAGTCTTATTTTTCATGCAAGAAAGTGGAGTTCTTGAGCCACTATTACCAACAGATTTTGACTTTTTAGGTGTATCATTAATACTTTCAGATTCATCTTCATAAATTAATAATCCTTCTGAATTTTTTTCCACAGGTTTTGCTACATTTTGGCGAAGTTCAGCATTTGTATTTTGTAGAACTTTAATTAAACTGTCATCTGACATATGTTCTACATTGTCATTACTCATATTTTCTGCTTTCATGGCAACTACTATAGGAGTCCTATCTATACCAATAGATGGTGAACGAGGATCTTCATCAAGGATTTTAAATACAGGAATATGGTGTACGTCATTTTTGTTGCAGTCTGCACCATTAATACTCGGGACATTTTCTTCAGTGTCCTCGAATTTATCAATTTCAGTCTCTACATATTCAAAATTTGTCTCTAATAATTTTGTTGGTTTTGTGTCTGATATATCTGCTTCTATTGCTTCATTTGAAGCTGTTGATGATCCAAGTGGTTCATTGGGTTCTTTTAGTGTATCATTAAGGGTCATATCATAAAATCCGTCACATAAGTTTTTAGGTATAACTAAATCAGGACTATTGATTTCTTCTACAGAGCTTTCATTAATTTCATAATTATCGTTCCTCAGGCATGGACTTCCACAGTTAATTTCACTTTGAAGTCTAGTTATATTTTTATCATTTTCAAGCTGATTTATTTTTGAAGTAATTATAATAGGTGTTCTTTCAAATTCTTGTGTTGGTGAACGAGGATCATATGATTGCAAATGATTCTTTATAACTGCTGAAAGTATGGGATTATTGTGAATCAGCTTTTCTTCAGCTTTAGCATTTTCAAATGTTTTTCTCAAATCCACATTCTTTGTTATATTATGCTTTCCATTAGGCTTACCCTGTAATAAGAAATTATATTATTGGAATATGCATTCTATTATTAAAAGTTATATATTTAGTATGGTGGACTGAGCTCAAAAATTAATTGTTGTTTAAACTAAATTATTTTAAATTATTTTAAATTATTTAAAGATTTTAAATAAAAATCTATGGAAGTAGTACAAGTATTTTCTAATTTATAAAAATGAATTCCAAACTCCACCAATACCTAGTTTTCATTTTTTTTTTTTACAAAAACTAATTTAAAATCATCTTTATTTAAATAGATTTGTCTATAAGCACTTTTACATTATAATTTTCTCATTATTGCAGTGTTTGGTACGTTGTAAACTATTGAGAAAAACCAGCAAGAAACTGTGTCAAAACTTTGTTAATATTATGTATATTTATTTAACTGTACATGAACATTAAAAAGCCCTTGCATGATCCACTTACGACATGCATATTTGTCATTCAAGTAATCATTTAGTGTGTAATAAGCTTTTTTCAATAAGTATTTTTACAGTTTTAAATTTATTAAAAGGTAGATTTAAAATATCCTTTGGTATTTAATTATAACATTTAATGCTCATTCCCATTAAAGACCTATTAACTTTTCTGAATGATATTTTGGTTTTGAATTTGTACCTAGCATTTATAATATTGTTTTCAAAAAACAGTTGAAGATTACTGCATATATACGAATTCTTTGTATGTATTATAAAGTTATGGAGAAAATATTTGCTTTATTAAATTTATCTCTATTTAACGAATGGCACATTCTTGTTATTCAATTTCTAATATTATCTTTAATAGGTATGTGATTCTTTAAAAATAGCAAAAGTAAAACTATTTGCTTCTAGCTGTAATTTAATTTCTATACAATATACAAATTATTGCTTAAATTATAGAAATTTAAAATAAGAAACTGGATAAATTTTATTTATAAACAGCGACATACACTGGCTTTACTATCTAAAATACTAAATATAAAACTCTGTAGTGTGGTTTTATACTATACAATCTTGAAGCATATTTTCTTTATAACAGTTTTAACTCTATATTTATAACATATATTCAAAGAATTACACTTTAGAATAAACTTCACTACTTATATCGTCATTTAGTGTGAAAAAATTATAAGTATTTTATTATATAATATCTATTCTGGTATCTGAGAAATTATCAATTATCATTGTGAGTATAATGCAATCTGAATTGAAATATAAGCGACCCAGAAACATTCTTTATGGCAATCTGTAAGGAAACTTTTACAGTGAATAATTAATGACTGAAAGGTTGATGATAACCAAATTAATCAGTCATCAAGTACTATGCACATACTCAAAGTTCAATACTTTCAATTCCAAAATTACCACATTCCTATAAATCACAAAAGCGCAAAAGGAAAATATGGGTAATGAAAGGATGCCTAAATTACCTGAAGCGGTGTTCGTATTATTTCTGGCGTAGGTGACCTAGGATCAGAACTAGCACTAAGGTCTACGTCGTTTTTCTGCGTACAAATAACTGTGTCGTTACAAGATTTACTAGTGTTATTTCCCATTATTATTTGGTTTACAAAATGTCACTTCGACAATTAACAAAAGAACATGTTAAAACGGAAAAAATAAGGAAGAGTATAACATGAAATTATTAATTAAATTCCATTGAGAAGTGCTGAAAAAAAAACTAAAACATATAACGGCCAAAACTGTCAAATACCATGTTTGTTCCTTTTTCAATTATTAAAAAAAAAATGTTTGGGGATACCATAGCATAAGCTGCGAATTAATAAAAAAATTACCATAACTTTGAAAAATAGATAAAATGATAATATTAAAATATAAATATCTAAAATGCTTCTATTAGTCCATTTAAAAAAAAATTACATAAGTAGTTTATGCTGAAAACAATATTTATTGTCAATCTTAATTTTTGAATTGTCTATTTAAAATTATATGTCTATGATTACTAACTGTCCGTCAGTTCTGCCTCTGCAGGTAAATTTAGGAACTAAAATTATTATTGTACATTAGTTCTGCTTTTTGCCACATAAACGCAAATGGCGCTAATTGTGAAAGAAAAATGTATTTTAACTACAGACGATAATAAAGCAGACTAAATATATGGAACTATACCATGTGTGCTATAGCATGATGCAGGTGACAGTTTCAGTAATGTTTCGTTTCATTCTTTAAAGTTGCCGCAATTTACAAATTATGACTTAGTATTTCATCTATACAACATTTGTAATATATTAAATCATTAATAACTGTAGTAACTTAAATTTAACGCAGGCATAATGTTCTAGTCTACAAATAAAATCAAATTGAAAAAAAAAAATTAAGCAAAGTGTTATGCATATAACGTAATGCAATAGACGTATTTAGTGATGGGATGTAGTGCTACGATGGATAGTCGATGTTTTTTATAATAAAAAACGTATATTGTGCGTAGTTTAATTTTTATTGTTAAAAAGTCTTTAATTATATAAATGAAACAACAGGACGTATATAGGGTAGGGTTACTTAAAAGGTTGCTAAGAAGAATATTTCTGTTTTATTCGTCTAAACTTATATCAGAGTCAGGAACATCTGAATTGTCACTAAATTTATCATTTGAATCTGTGACGAATATTATTAACGATGAATTCATTATGTTGTTAATATGAATGTCACGATCCCAATCAGACATAATGCCCCTTTTTGTCTTATTCACGACCTTCGTCCAGTCTTTAGGTTGAACATTGTTGATGGCCTCTTGTAGTAACATCTTATCTGCCGTAAATGGCGGCAAAGTATTACTTGCGGACTGACCTAAAAATAAACGGAATTATAAAAAAAAGTATTTCAATTCAATCAATCAATCAAATAATCAATTATTTCATAGGTAATGCTAGGTTCTACATGCTACGTTCGGACAGCTGATTTTTATTAGAAAGCTTCAAAATGGGAATTGAAATTAAAATTATATCTTTTATTTCACCCCAAATTAGCTCAACAGCATTATATTGGCAATGGTAGGGTGGTAGTTGAAGATCCTGGTGGCCTTTTTCTTTTGCCATCTCGTCCAGACCATAGGTAGGAGTTGGTGGCTTATGACGTCGGATTAAGTCAATAAGCTCCGACTTTAACATTTTTATATCTGCTGTAACTCTATTTTCACTCAACCACTTTACCAATTCGCTTTTGCGGTTGGATTGGTTTGGGGGTTTATTAACTTGTACCGAATGATAGGGTGCGTTACCTATTATGGTTATAGACTCTTTTAAATTATTTAATAGACCTATGAACCAATCTTTGAATTTTTCGTATTTCATCTCCTTAAGATACTCCGTAATTTTTTTTAAAAGCCAGCAAACAACTGGGTACGAATCCACTTGCTGTACCAGCGTGACAAATAATAATAAATAATAATAATAAGGCGTTCGCCTTTGCTTTACACTTTGGTACACGATTTTGCCGTATCGTCGGTCCAACTTTTACCCACTGTGTGGTTAGCGTTTAACCATGTTTCATCCAAAAAGATAACTTTGCTCCAACACTTAGGTTAAAATGTACATCTTGCTAAGGCAATGTCAGTCCTCTTCATAATAATCTTCCTTTTGTTAACTTTTTGTAAATAAAATCAATATCTTTTATAACTTCCGGTAACGAGGTAATACCTCCCTTGAACAAGTCAGCTCCTTTCAATGATTTTAGAAGCTTGAGCAATGTAGGCAGCTCCATTCCTTTATAATAATCATAAATATGATTTCTAATAGTATCCTTAGCAAAATCATCTAAATCTGTGATTGGCTTCACCTTGGTCCGTTTTTTGTTGGGTGTTAATAAAATATTTTCAGACATCCCTTCTTGGCTAATTTTCTCACGTGTTATACGCGAAACAGTACTGCGGTCAATATCAAGAGCTACAACTATTTGTTCCACAATTCGATTCAATGGTAACAAAGATCCATTCTTTTGTAGTTCTCTTTCAAAGTAGTCTTGGAGGCGAACAACATGCTCCCTGGCCTGACTACCCAAAACAGTTTTTTTGTATGCTTAGGAATGGTAATAACAACAAACATTAACAAATAAAACAACAAACTATAACAATTTAACGAAAATGAAAACGAACAATGTAATCGAAATATGTATCATATACAAGGCGTTAGCATTCGTACTGACAGCATCTTATGCACGGGTAAACAAAATGGTCGCCGCGTCGATGCGGCATAGAGAAAAAATGTTGTCACGAAAGAAATCATAAACCCGGTTTTGATAATTTCATATAAGTACGAAGAAAATATGTATATTGACAAGTTTATACACGTTATTTATTTATTTTATTTAAATTTTATCCATCAGACATAATATTATAAGTAGATTTGAAATATCGCATAGACCATAGTCGATAAAGGTTTAATCCCTAGAAACTACGCATTAGTACATCCGCGATAACGGAGTCTCCTCATAAATACCAATTAAATAATAATTTGCTTTTTAAACAAATTTTCATAAGAATATTAAAAAGAACTAGATTTATGCTGCGAGTGTCGTCAGCGATAAAAATGAATTGCTAAACGTCACACTCCTAGTTATGTGGTACTGACAGAAGTGAATGTCATACCGGCAACTGTCACCCACGCCATGCTACAGCGTACATAGTACACGTCATACCACAACTCACACATTCGCACTAATATAAATGCAGAGACGAAGTTGGATTATAAGAAGATTATATTAATATATAAATTTTAAAGAGCGTTCATAACTTTAGCTCAACCAAATGTGAAAATATCACAAAAAAGTGCTCTGCTTATGAACTAAAACGTTACTCATGTAGTAAGTTATTAATGAAGCTGTCACTGAAAATTTGGATTATGATAAAAAAAAGTATTTAAAAAATTCCAAAGCAAAATATATAGGAAAAAACCTAGTACATAGTTTTTTAATGATAGATTTACATGCAACCTTATATTCTATGATTAATGTTTTACTTTATAAATAGACTAATTTTTAAATAATCACTGATATACATTCGCAAATTCTTAATTTTTTTCTGAAAATTAACAGAAAACGACTTTGACATACGTCGATAACTGACCTTATTTTAACTTACGGAGAAGAAGGGATTATTAATAATGTGGATCAATAGCTCAATTGTTAAAAATATAGCTTGTTAGGCCAACTTCAATTTGGTTTCAAGTAGCCTGACTTCATCTTCACCTAGAATAATCATGACACCCAGCTGGTGTATCGTGCAGGCGAGGTTATTATTTAATATTCATCAATAAAAAAAGTATCTTTCCGGGATGAGCAATAACCCTATCAGGTAAGAAAATTATAATCTTTGTGTCAAATTTGTCGCGATGAGGTCACTGGACTGCTTTCGTCTTCACTTATAATATTCGCTGGTGTCCCACCAATAAATGCTAATAGCACAGGGGGGGGAGGGTCACCGATCAATGTCCCCTCTTTTAAAACGCTTATCTTATTCATCGCTTTACAGTAAGATGTTGTGGATAGAGAAAGGAAGTGTTGGTAATTGATTGAAATAAATGAAAATTTTTATTAAAATTTTCCTTAATATAACAATAATAAGTAGGTACATATTATTATAGCGGTTAGCATTATAGAGGTTTGTTTGAATCGAAGCATTTGGCGTTCCATTGTTTCTGCCTACCCTAATGGGAGACAGGCGTGACAGATATGTATGTATGTATGTATATTATTATAGCGACAAAAGTAAAGCTTTCGTATAAAAAATTAGACGGTATCATTTACGTCTTGCATTTAATGATAAGACAATGTTTAAATATTTTTTCTATAATGGTTTATTTATTATTTTATTTATTCATTAGTACAAATATGTATGTGTACATGGCGGACTTAATGCTAAAAGCATTCTCTCCCAGTCAATCATAGGAAAATGTCAGAATACTCGAATGCGGTACTACTAATGGTTATAATTACACTATACATAACTATTTATTTTTAAGTAGATATGATTTTCTGAAGGAGATTTTCTTTTTTACTTTTATTAAAAAATATTCTAATATATGTATATGTATACGTGTATATTATATATATATATATATATATATATATGTATATATATATATATATATATATACATATATACATATATAATATTTCAGTCGGTATTTTGCCAGTTTTGAGTCAAATCTATATATACTAAAGGTGTAAAATGACAACTTTTTTCACCATTCGTGTTTGTCCGTTTTACAAATTCATTACAAATCATATCATCATCCCTTGATTTCACGAAATTAAGGAAGGGATTGATAAACGTTCGTAAAATCCATTAAAACAAACATAGATCAGAGAATTTTATCTTTTTCAGGTAAATCTTCCAATACGTCTTTTTCACTTTCAGTAAGACAAAGAAATATAGTTTGTAAATAGCGGCTTCAGAAATTAATAACTATACATTCTGATATCCATAAATAATAAAAAAAACCCCTGTTGATAAAACGTTTGTTTTGAGATACTATGTAGAGGTATAGTTATTGTCTACATGTTCAATAAATCGATAGAAACTGTTTCCTTAATTTCTTCTTGGTTGACAAGTGAGCGCATGGGTCCAAGACCCACGGCGACAGACAGCGGTCACTCTGGGAATCCAACGCCAGCCATGACTGCACCGAACTCGGCAGGTTGATCCTTCAAGTAGACGGGAGCCGTTGTAAGATGTACCACCTTTACAACTTATACGACCATAATCTGGTGGTGTTGGGGGTTTACACCAAGTTCGAGCTGTAGAAATCATACAATAATATCAATTAGTAGTTTTATTCAATGATTTACATAGTTACATTACAGTAGAAAATCCAATTAACTATAATATTAAAATAATCATGAAAAGTAACGAAAACATTTTAATTAATATTTTTGAAGTTTTATTCTATATCTATTATAATAACAGCGCATACCCATCATCAGCCATTTTTGTTTTGCTGATCTACAACTTTGTTAAAGATAGGTAGGTACTACAATGATGCTCTTCGAGCCCAATATTGATTAGAAATATAGTTTCTCATTACTTTACGAGTAGCTTTTCCATTGACATGGTGCCAGTATTTTTTAAGAGTGGTTTATATTTTTGGGAAGAGCCAGAAATCGCTTGAAGCTAAATTCGAAGAGTTAAAAGGATGTGGATGGATAATCTGAAACTTTTTTTAGCCAAAAGCTCAGAAGTGAGTTAGCATGGCGTATTGTGGTTCTGACGAATTGTTATTTTTTCTGGTATCTGAGGGCCTACCATGAAATGTTTTCCGAAATTTCGGAGCCGAACGAAACACAAATTTGATGTTAAAAGTACATAATACTTACCGTTTTAAAAACATTAAAAATATTAAAATAATATTCTTTTGGACTTTTATGGTAGGATTTATGACAAACAAAATATTAAGCTCCATTTACTGGGCTAATTTAGGTATGAATAAAAACACGAAATTGAGTTCGAAGCTTCGAAATTTCATTTCATGGTAGGCCCCCTGTTTTTAAAGATAGAATTAACATTGGGATACATTAAATACACATGTAATAGATATTAATTGAAATTAATAAATTAATTATGCAATAAATTATTCACTTTTTTGAACGACAGCCTAAAAAGGAATATACCTTACGTTTCTATTAGATGTCGTACGTATTATTAAAATTAATAATAAAATGGAAAACTGGTATAATGAACTGAAATTAACATCTTTTTATTAGATAATAAGTAATGAAGTTTTTTTACCTTTACAAATGGGAAGATTTCCATTCCACTTCATATTTTCTCCACAAGTTAAAGTTTTTTCGCCATATAATTGCTGGTCGGGGTATCGACACGTAAAATTACATGTTTTACTTCCCTTTTCACAATGTATAACCAAATTATCGGGCGTAGGACAGCTTTGAGGCACTACATATATTTGCAGTTTACATATTTGCAAAGGCTGCAACATTAAAATTATACATAAAAAGTCGTTTGGATGTGAAGGCAGCTCAATCTCTCTCGTGTTTCTATCTTCAAGTAGTTGTATTTTTATGACTGTGTTTCAGTTTGAAGTGTGATGTTGTAGTGAAATGCTGGAGAAGGCGGCAAGCACTTTAGGAGAAAACTGATGTGTGCAATTTGGTGAACATAATATCCATATGACCATAACAAAAGCAAAAGTCAAAATACAACTTATAATAAAAAAGTTTGCTGTATTTTAATAAAATCTTAGCCACCTGTACCAAATTCATACGGATCCCATTTAGGATGTATTATACAATTTTTTCGTAAAATATACATATATTTAAAAGAAATAAGGGAAAAACAAACAGACACGAACAACAACTTAATATCATACTATTTAAAGACCTAAAAATATGGTAATGAGATTGTTATGGATTTTGATAGAATATTGGTTACCTACTGTTTTTTATCAGGCGGGTTACTAGCTTGTTTGATATTCAAAGTATTCTATAAATAACTTACTTTTCCTAAATGCGTAATCCGTCCAATAACAATGTGGCTACCTTCTTCTAATAGAGAGCCGAATTCAGGGCCGTACATGCGAATGAATCGTACATTTCTTGGCACTCTTTTTCCGTGCTTACAAGAGTGCAGACGTGGATGCTGAAGAATGGCACGATTCGAGCCAGGCCTCAGTATCAACGTTCTATCGTTAGGACATCTGACGCACACGTGATCTGAAAATATGTCATAATAATATTTATTTTATCATTATAGTTTCTATAAATAACGTTGTTTTTTAGAACAACGTGCCTTCAAAGGAAAACATTGGAATCTGTAAAAACAACTCATTGATGAGCTACTGTTGGACATGTATCACTCCTCATTAGTGGAAAATATAAAATGTAATAATAGTTTATTAATAAATCATTGGTTTTCTCGTAAAGTGGTTTAATTTTTAAACGATATCATAGCTATAATCCTTAAAAGGATAGTTAGTTAAAAGCATTTGTCAGTTGTTTGCGAACGGTGTTTTCAACATTAGAGAATTAGTTTAATAAAATTTAATTTGTAATTTAAAATTTAACTTTTAATATAATTTTTTATTGTTGAACAGATTCATATTCACTATTTCAAATGAGTGTAGTAATTACTAAGTCATGACCTTATCTCAAACTAATAGTTTAACAAAAAAAATACAATTTTTATACCTTTAGCTATTAGATTCGCTTCCATACGTTCTGAGCGGATAGGTGTATTTTTCATATAGTTTTCAGAAGCTCGAATCACTTCTCTTCCTGGATAAATAAACGAAACCTCGTTGTTTAAGTCTTGCCGATTAATTTCTTTAAGATACACATCAGACTGGTAGAAGAGGCGTGGGTCTTCGGGGGACTCGTGGACTTTGAGCACTTTCGGTGCCTTATGTGAGGAGGCACCATGTAGATAGTGCATCGGCGAGTGCCATTCATGGACCCCGCGGCTACTATCGTCATAATCATAGCTTCTACTCAATTGGGTTAAATCCAAAGAACGGCGATGGTGTGTATAACTTGGTTGAAAAGCTTCGTTGAAGTTTTCTTTTGGGAGTAGTTTTAATCTGAAACCAATAAACATTTTTAATATTAAATTTTAATTTAAAAATGATTATTTTTACATTTTATTTTATACATAATATAACATTTCAGATATACAGTAAATACAATAAGTAATAGATAAATAGTGAATTTTGACTAATTTTTTTTTTATGAAATAGTGAACACATCTGGTTTACATGTTTCATACAATAGTGTACAATAAATAAACACCACTTGCCATTACTTTTCAATGTAAATATTTAAAAATCATTTGTTAGTTTTCCAAACTGTGCGATGGTATGCAGTTCGAAATTGTATATTGAAATATAGGAATAGAAATGACGCACTGAATGCTATTTTAGTGAAGTCCGCTCGATATGAGAGATATTTGGCCCAGAAGGTAACCGTTTGTTTTGATGAAAGTCATATTGTTTTATATCAAATTTGACCTATATTTTATAGGTGTTATGAATAATACCAGAAGCTTTTTCCATTATTCAGGGTCATTATTAGAAGCATCTGCGTATTGTTACCATTATCATAAATGTACTTAACTTTAGTACTATTTATTGAGATAGATAGATAGATAATTTATTTGAATTACTTACAGCACACAAATTATAACATAAATAGATATACATAAAACGCGAGATAACATAAATGATTAAACAAAAAAAAAATATTAAGAGATATTTAATCCAACATTGGAAAGTTATTAGGAAATAATAAAAAAAACTATAAAAATTAGAATGGCAAAAAGCTGACGGCCCACCTGATGGAAAGTGGTAACCGTCGCCTATAGACATGAGCAGTACCATGGACATAACAGAATATACTGTTTCGCCCATAATATCCCCCATGCGTTGCTATTTCTGAGGACTCAGGTGTTATTCTATAAATAACACCATTTATTATATATATAACTAAGTAAATGCTAATAATCATACACCCGTTTTGCCTGATGTTCAAACTGGGAAATTCTGCCATATGAAAAATATGGATAACAAAAATTTGGAAGCACAAATCAGAATACTAGTTACGAGTCAGTTTTGAACAGTTTGCTAAATTGACTTGACCGAGCATCGAACCTGCGGAATCAGAGCAACACGCCTGCGCTTTAAAAGACGCCAAACTTTGTTAACTTTGATATGCGATGTCTTGTTGTCAGTCTGAATCGAAATTAGGATTAGATCATTACTATATAAGAAACAGAGTAGTAAATTATTAGGCCACGCTCAGCGTAGACACAATCTTACAGTTTAAATAATGTAATCTTATATTTGCATATATTTACAACATATAGAATAGGTATACAGAATAACTATAGGTATATAATTTTAGTATATAGTTTACTTACTATATATATATATACATTTATTTTCATGGATTTGATTTATTCCAATTTCAACGAATAAGTATCTTACATTAAAATATTTAAAAATTGTTATCGGTTTTTATTTGCTAATTTAGCATCAACTTTTTAACTAACTACCAAACTAATTAATAGTGAATAGAAACATTAATATCGGTTATAACAGAGTTTTCTAGTTATTTAGAGAAGTGATGGAAATGTAGACGAAACGTATGAACGTAACGATACTTGCCAAAGTGTTTGCGTCACTTACTAACCTGTTGATATCTATGTCCGGCTGCCGTGCTCCAAGATTTCCTATAAAAATCAAAGACGCATTTATTTGTACTTTCATTCAATATTTCTGTAGTATTTCAATAACTATACATATTTACTATCTCATATTATCTATATGTTTTATTCAAAGTTCATTATTAGTATAAGTATGGTGACTTATGTTACATTTTTATTCTCTAGTTATATACAATATCTAATTTTTATGGCTTAAAAATGTTGAGTAATATTTTTTCATCTAAATAAGATCTTACTAATGTAATAAAACTAAACAATGTCTGTAAATAAGATATATTCTGTACACAGGAGATATTTAAGAAAAATTGATAATAGCAACAGAAGCCATAACAATAATTTTGAGAATTGTTATCCGTGTATCTGTCTGTCTCTGTGTATGTTTGTTTCGGCATAATGAAAAAATATTTATCATATTGAAAACTATAATCTTAAAGTATAAATTAAAATCTGGAGTATCTTGGATACTCTATTTTGGAAGTGGTAACCTATTCAATAATTTAGGTATATCTACTAAATTTCGTGTCTCATAAAATTCATATTGGTCTTCTGAATCTTAGCTCAAAATAGATTTGTTAATGAATATTTTTTGGTATAGACAGGTATCTATACCTGTTTACAAAATGTCGCTTCATCAAACAACTTCAGTTTCGTTCTGACTCAATCAAAACTTGACATTTTTGCAGAAAAAAAGAGCCATGGAACACAGTGATTGATTGATTAATTTGGTGCATCGAAGAGACTCGTACTCAATAGCGGCTTATCATAAGATTGTGCCTTTAAGTTTTATGATTCACTCGACCAGTTCTAATATAATTTAAGACTGAATTCCATAAAAAAACCGACTCAATTGTGGTAAAACCAGTTTTTTAGATTTAAAAACTAAACTACTAAACCGATTTTGTTAAAATTTCTATGGGACTTACCTGTAAGTATATTCTTTCAGATAAAAAAGAATTTTCCATATCGGTTTATAACTAACGGAGTTATAAGGTAACAAACATAAAAAACATACATCCGAATTACCAAAACCGGAGAACCCTTTTCTTCTGTCAACAAATAACTACTTTTTGAGTAACAAAAACACTCAATTTTCATAAAGGCTGAGTGAAGTTTCATCACGTAAGTCAATTAAAATTATAAGTTATTGTAGTAGGCAGACTATATGATTTTATATTTTATTTAAGTTCAGATTATAAACAGGTTTCACTACATGGAAACATATTTATAAATTGTATTATATTCCATCGTTACATTAAGTGCTACCTACTATCAAGCAAGTACACATATCTTATTATCATCACATTTGTATAACAAAGTGTGGAGCTATTGAAGTGCTATAAACTTAACATAAATGATATCATGAGCTTAAAATAATGATTACCTACATTAAAACCTAGTGTCGTACTTTGCATTAACTGACAATTCTGTCCGACTTCGTTCTCCTTCCTGCGCTGTAATTTGGTTTAACCTACTCTAATTCTCTCTCAGATTTTTTTTATTCAATTATATTATATTAATTATTGATTATTCCGTTAATGTTATTTTTATGTGCAGGTCTTAGAAATATCGGAGATATTAAACATTATACACTATTCTCATGAAACGCTGTGTTGCTGAAATCTAGCTAATTGTTGTAAAGATAATCAAAATAATTTTTTATGCAACTTGCAATAGTAAACATGCTGACAGCCGACTTGATAGATAGTGATAACCTTCGCCTATATACCTATTATGGGTTGCCATTCCTGAGGAGTAAAGTAAGCATTCGTTATCCTGTAATTGTATTGCCATAATGAAACATAACCCTGTCAGTGCATCTGCTTGGCGACAAATATACGAATGCGTCTTTGGTGTATTTAAGATTAGGTTACAGGGAAAACCTGGCTCCTTAAAGAAATGAGATCGAGTGCTCTCAAATCCTGGGGTGGGCACGGTTCAACCGGTTTTCTCTTAAATACGCTTATGCCATGTAAATTGCTTTAATAAAATTTGGGAAAATTGGATTTTGTCCCTTTTACAGGTATTTATTTAGATTTTAATATGCTAGTGCTGACTGTCTACATACTTCTTGGTTAATATTAGAGATACATAATATAAATATTGTTTTTTATCTAAGTGCCTAAATATGAGTACGTTAAGTAGGTGGTACAGCACATTCTGATAAGAAGATTGATGCCGTTTGCTATGTAGAGCAAGTATGTATAGCAAATTTTTTGCACTTTTGTGTCTGTAAAATATTGAAGGTAGTAGTTACATGCTAGTAAAGATAGATATAGCATTTTTAAGCCACAAAATGTTAAATATATCTATTACTTATGATATTTTAAATAATTTTATAGTAATTAATAATTAAATATAGTATAGTAATTAAAAATGAAATACAGTATAATAATTAATATTTGCTGAAAATAAAATTAAATAAAAATCTATCTCTTTATATCATATAGTTTTTTGTATAAATTTAGTATAACGTTAAGATTTTTCTACTGTTAATTTCAGATTATTTTCAATAAACTTTAAAAAAGGAGGAGGTTCTCAATTTGGTTGTACTATTTTTTGTTTATTACCTCGTAATTCCGTCAGTTTTAAACTGATATTGAAAATTCTTTTTTAACTGAAAGGATATACTTTCAAATTTGTCCTATGGAAATTTTATCAAAATCAGTTCAGCAGTCCAAATTTTAGATGATAATTGGTTTTGCTACAACTGAAATTAATTTTTAGGATTCCGTGCCAAAAAGGTACAAAGACAACCCTTATGGTGCATCCTTCTTCGTCCGTCCATCAGTCTGTCCGTCCGTCTGTCAAAGCGTTATACTCAGTAAATACTAATGCTATCGATTTGAAATTTCGACTAGTTTTACATGGCATATATTGCAATAGCAATAATTAAAAAAAATTAAAAATAAAAATGTCTCGAACTAGCACCATTTTTGAGAAATAATTAAAAAACTAAAAACCAACAACGCACAAGCATCCCCTCTCGTGTTGCAGGTGTTCATGGGCGACGGTAGCCACTTTCCATTAGGTGGACCGCTTGCTCGTTTGGCTCCCTAACAATTAACAAAAACTTCCAAAAACAAACCTAGTTATACGATCCAGTTTTTAACCACAATTATTGTCCATAATAATAAATTACGAATTGTAGTATCAATAATTATTATTATTACATGTCTATTTCATACTAGAAATGCAATAACGGTCATTTTATGTCATATATGTTTATGTATATGAGGAACCCTTTGCGTGTGAGTTCAACTCGCAGGTGACCGGTTTTATTTTTTGAGGAACATAATCTTAAATTACTGTTTCTAAATTTACTAATATACTTATTTAACTTTTTTTTATCAGGTATAAAACAATATCCTTTATGGGAAACTTTATTCATTTGATCTCAACTTTACTTACAAATGCGAATTTGTTTTTGTCCACAGATTCCTAAGAACATTTTAAAATTTGGTGTTTTAAAGTGAGTGTTGTGCATTTAAGTAACGAATTGGCATATGAATTTATTTCAAATGTTTGTGAAAACGTGTACGTGTATTAAGATAACTGAGCAGTTATTTACATACAAGTACTTGCACAATTCATTATTATTAATTTATATACGCATAATAAATAGATATACATACATTTAAGTATTCATTTGTATAGGTCCATCTTTACTAATATTATAAATTTAAAAGTGAGTTTGGTTGGTTTATTACTTTATAGCGCCTTAACGGCTTCACTAATCACTATGAAATTCGGTTTATACGTACAATACGGGATTGAGAAGGATATAAATTACTTTTTTATGATAGTAAACATATCTCGATCAAGCGAACGAAATAGCAGATAAAAGCTAGTATATTACTAAAGGGAATAAGAATAATAGACAGTAAGAAATAGTTGCATCAATATGCGGACAATGAATTGGATAAAAAAAATGAATAAATGAATTAAAATAATAATGTTAAAAAATGATATAATAAAATAAGTGAATAATTAAAAAAATATATACCAAAGCAACTTACCAATTAAATTAAAAATTAATAAAACACATATAACAGACATATTGAAGCGAACATTCTATATGTTTGTACTTAAAAATATAAATGAATTCATAAAAGTTTTTTTCATCAACCTAAAACCAACTGATCTCGAAAGGCGCGCAAAAAGTACTAATCACAAACACAGTCTCTCAGGACGTGGGAGGATTTTGCTAGATAGCTATTTAGGTGTTTGATACTCTAACTAATTGTAATAAAGTTCAAATTATTTTGTTCAATAATAATTCTTGGTTGGCTTTACTCATAGGTACATATCACGTCTAGTAAAAAACGTCTTCTTCTTCACATTATTATTATTTTATTACGTTATACGTTAATAGGGTATCCGTACTTACAATTAATAAATATTACAACTTCCAAGATTACAAAATTACAGTACTAGAAATTTTCCTACGGAGTTTTGGAGACAATATTATTTATATTGTAATGTTGCTTTGCCAAGAATGCGAAAGCACTCATTAAATTTCATATAATACGATTTCTGTATTAAAGTATGTAAGTCTAAATAAATGACAATTTTCTTATACAAGTTTGTTACAGGTATGATAACAGCAGGGATGATACGGCGGATTGGGACAAGTGAACGCTTGACACGGTGGAACGACGGGACAGCATTCTCCAGGGTACCAAACAGTTCGAGCGTATCGGCCACTTGGTCTCGTGCAAGCACCGTGATTGAAGCAATCAGCTTTGCAAGGAAAATCGTAACAGCACGGTCTAAAACAAAAATCATATTGTGCCACCTAAATGATTAGAGAGATATTTCATTACATTTTATACTTATAATATAGCAAACATAGGTCTCAAAAATTTTCAGTGTTATATTACATACTCGTATTTATTCCTTAGGTCCTCTTTAACGAACGTAATCTTAGCGGAATATAATTTTATCCACGTAGGCATACCTACTTCATAACTATTAAACACTATTAAACAATTTCCTTTTTGGACAGACTGCCTTTGCATTTAGACCTTAGAGTATGTCCAGTGAATAATTCATTGCACTAATTTTCTTTAATATTTTTTTTATTCATTTAGGGTCTATGTCATCACAGCAGCCATTACCTGTCCACTGCAGAACATAGGCTTTCCCTTATAGCGGGGTTTTGTCAACAGTTTTGCCACACTTGGCAGGCTTGGAAATCGCAGTTAGGTTTTGGTGATGCGTAAAGAAGGACGCTATTGCCATCCTTAAACCATTAATTGCCCTTAGTCATCTCTTACAATCCCCATGCGAAAGGATAGAGTGGTCTATTTTATGCTGGGATCACGCGGCGTAATATAGAATCTATGTATCGATATTTATTAACTATTATCCATTGCAGGATAAGCAAAGAAAATTTTAGCATAAATCTGTAAAACAATACATATTTTTTTAATAATATTAATAATAACATAAGGAATAGTGTATACAACGTACCGTTCTACAGGAGTGTTACTCGGGCCTCCGTAATATGGTGCACATTCCTTTTGGAATGGCTGTGGTCGCGGCTGTCCACACCTTGGTCTCTTGTAGTAGATGCTATATTCACCTTTGACATAACCGTACCTTGGGCATGGTCGTGTACTCTCATACCCACGTGGTAGAACTGACATGCTTGTGAATCGTTACTTACACAATCAGTATTATTGCTGTAGTATTAAGATGCAAAGTATTGCCTATTTTTAACTTGTAGTGTTTATATGTTATCAAATAGATAATTTTACAATTTTTGTAAATTTCGTAATTGTATTTTTTTATAATGTTATTATATTTTTATAAAAAATACATGTATTTATAATAGACAAATAAAAAATGTTTTATTTTTCTATTTATAAGCTTACTTATTCCCTGGCACAACAGAATTTTAACTATCAAAAAGTTTGAATTACGTTGATTTTATCGTTAATCAAGTAAATGGATATTTTGGATAGAGGTGGATTATTCTTAAACCAAACTAGGCACGTGCCTAGGGGCACAAGATTATAAAGAACGCGCCCGCAGATTTTTTAAATTAAGAAAAAAATTAACATAAAATTGTGTTAATAAGTACTTAAGTGCTTACATAATATAAAAGATATATAATTTACCTAAACATTAATTGGTACAGCTTAAAAATGTGCGCGTGAGTAGTAGTGTTTTGTGACATTGTATTTTGTGTTTAATAAATAAATAAATAAAATAGAGAACATATATTTATATAGTGAACAATGTGTAGGTTAAAATAAAGTTGGTGACGGGATGTATTCCATCGGATTATATCGGATTATCGGATATTATTGGACTTTAGAAACGACTAAGAATACTAGTCAATTGTAATAAACTTTATTGTTGTAAAAGTTTGTAGTGAAAAATAAGAAATAAATGGTAATTGGAGGACATATACATTTCCTATTAATTCTACAATATGCTTGATCATTTGCACAAGAAGCTTTTTATACAACAAACTTAAGTAAAATTGAATAATGAAAACAGATATTATTTAAATTTTGATGGCACTGGTGAAAAACAGTGTCATGTAACACATGAAGCAAGGTGCAGAAAATGGTACTAAAAAACAAAAATATTTATAAATCCGAACCTTATCGCGTCACCATATTAGGAGACAGGTTACATTTATCCTAGACACTCCGGATATCTAGCATAATATTGTGCGTTATGCATGTTAATTCAGTTATATAATTGGGTGGCCCAGTCATACTAGATTTGACGTCTTGCATAAATAAAAAGATTCTAAGGACTGCATAATTTATTTTCTTCCGACATTACAAACAGACATAATGAATTTTATTTGGTTTAAGTGACTAAGATATCTACCTACAGAATAATCTTAAGGTCACACTTCTAAATATGGACTTAAGATTAACATATTAAGATAAATTAGTCCTGTGGGGAGAAACAAAACACAGCCAATTTATAAATAACGTTTAAAAAAGTGGCACATATTTTGGGGATTTCCGGTTGGCTACCAGACGGGCATGCAAGGCCCACAGCAACCAGAACATACAGGAACTCCTGGGTAACTGTAGCGTTTGGGGGAGCAGACAGCGGGCTCGGTGCAGCAGTAACACGGACATGGCCTACAACGGTTCGGCCTACAGCATGGTATTGCTATCGAGTCACATAATGGAACTGGTCTTGGGATAGGGGTGCTAGGCTGAAACAAAAATTATATTGCTGTTTACTACGAAATATATGTGTATTGTGAAAGTGCTGATTATGTAGGCACAGGACGTGTAGGTATCTTCGCTTAGATAGGTGTAATTGGGAAATTAGATTAATTTGTCTAATGGATATTTTTAGAGCTTCATCCTAAAAGAAGAAAATAACTGTAGAAACAATTTTAGTTATGCAGTTCAGTTTTTAAATACAGTTATAGCTCAAAATAAAGAAATTTTAATTGTAATGTAAATAATATTATTTATGTGTCTATTATTAATATGTAATTTATCCATATCGATATACAATAATACCATAATAATGATTGACTTTATTTCGGATTTTCAATCCGTATCGTGTTAGTAAAAGACAAGATTTATCTAATTCATATAAATTTTGCCACCTCCAGTTACAGTGGATCCATAACACTGCGTTCCAATGCCTTTGGAGTGGGTAGTCCAACTTCTCTGCAATTATCATATTGATATAAATTTTATCTAAAGAAAACAAAATGTACTTACAAACTATTGTACATGTGGAATCCTCGGTGACTTCAAATTGCATTAATAATTTTTTTGTAAATATATATTGCAGATGGGAATTACTTCCCAAACTAATACAAACAAACAGATCCAATTATACAGATCGATTTCGTATTCACCGAAAGATGAGTTAGATTTTTAAATCCTTACATCGCCAAGGTTGTTTTGATTATACCATATTATATAATAAAATTATACCTTGTCGCAAGGTGGGCACGGAGACAAACAGGGTAGAACTGGCGGTGGTGGGCAAGGCTCTGGACATGGACGCACTGGAGCTGGACAAGGGGAGCATCCACCGCCAGGACAGACGGAACAGATGCTCAAGTCGTTTCGGGAAGCTACGCAGGGTTTAGTGCTGTAGGGGTAGCACGCCCCGCAGGGCATTCCTGTGCAAACGCATGGATCAAAACTGTAAAAAGAAGCACTCATTTCGTAAGTTTTTCTGTTTTTTTTATATTATAATATATATGTATAAATACAATTTAATGAAAAAAAGTGTTTCTGAATAACATTAGATTAATTTTATTGACAAATAAAATGTCTACATTTTATTTTTATAAAAAGTAAGTCATAGATAAGGAAATTAGAATTTGAAACTGAATAGAATCTACGTCTATATACAGAAGAATACTGGCCGAAACCCATTCAAAATGACAAATGATAAAAAATTTATAAAGTGCAAAATTATTTAATAAAAAGTATAAAATTAATAATATAAAATATACTTACAATAAAGTGAAAATATTCGGATAAAATCGCAATGTGTGCATGCAATTTCTGTTCGACGTGTCCGGCGATTTTGCCCTGCGGCACTGGTTCATGTACTTATTCATGTCCTCCGCCTGTATCTTGTTGTCAGCCGTGTTGCCCGCCACCTTGTCCTTGCACGCCCTGTCCGCCGTGTAATTGCAAACCGGTATTCAGGCAATGCCCTGCACCTGTTATTCCGGACTTGGTACCACCAATAGTACCAATACTTCCTTCTTGTAAAGCGCGGCGCGCCCCGGCGCCTGAACCCCCACCGTACCCGCCACCGTGCCCTGTCTGTTGCCCGCCAGTTTTGCCTTGTTGTCCACCACCTGAGCCTTGTGATCCACCACCAGTAAGATTGTTGTTCTTTTTATAAAATATTTTTATTCTTTAGAAAATGCTAATTTCTTTAATGAAATTTCTGTTAATTCATATGCTTAAACGTACTCAATAAACTCACTGGTATGATGAACTTCATATCATCATCATAATCTCAGCTGTTATCTGTCCACTGTTGGATACAGGCCTCCCCCATAGACTGCCATAAGGAACAGTCCTAAGCCACCTGCATCCTTTTCTGATTCCCTGCAATGCATTTGAGGTCCTCACTCTATCTAATGGGGGATATACACTGCGTTTATCTATACGGGGTCGCCACTCAACTTGATATACAAGTACAAAATGTATAAACACAAAAACATAGCAGGGTGAAGTAAAGAATCCAGATAAATATTTTAATAAAAAGCTGTAAAGTAAAATAGTATGATTTTAAGGCAACTATTTTGATGATTTCATGCTCACAACAAAAAGCCAGATATAATAGTATTCTGTAAGTACAAGTATTACAACATAAATCAAGTTTCATTATGTTCTAGGTATGTCCGTGTCCAGAACCAACTCCATGTTATGAACCGGTCTTACCATGCTGCAACCCTCAGTGCCCACCGCCTATTCTACCGAAACAGCGACCCATTTGTCCTCGAGCCCCACCAGCTCCATATCCTTGCCTTCCCATAAGCCGTAGCTGTTGTCTAGACTGTGAATTAGACCCTATCACTCGAAGAAGACCACTGATAATGCATGACAGCGTATTCCAAAACAGACCCTCAGGCCGGCCTGTGGAATGCTTTACCAGACGCAATCCCAATGTGCGGTATTCAGTGAACAACTATGTAAGACAGGTCTGCAATTAGATATTTATAATTTTAATTATATTTCGATTCATAAAATTACAGAAAACTTACTTTATAGCAACGGTAATGTTATAGAAACTGCCACTCATATTCTAGTCTAGGTACGTAATAATATCATCAATTTGGAGAGGATATTTATAAATATGATGTCAATAAATTAAACAGTAATGTATTATTATGTAATTGTAATGTCAACATACTATTCATTGCAGTTACTTTGTTTGGCGCTTGGGCCTAATTTAAGAAGTGATCGTCTCCCAATTCGTTAGCTTTTTGCTTGAACTTGTGACGGTTCACCTATAGTACAATAGGTTTAATACCATAAGTACATAGAAAAGAAACAGGGGTTCCTATGGGTGACCGCTGCGAAAGCTGAGCTATTTAATATAAACAAACTTTAAAGTCAAGGTTCACAATAGTATACAGAGAAGACGTTACCATATATGAAATATTGACACAGAAGGGAAACTCCTTTGATGTGTTTCCAAAGTGTAGTAGATGTCACAAGAAAATTAAATAAATTAAACAAAAATATATTATATTTTATATATAACCAAATTATAGTTTACCTTTTATCATCAGGTGTAAAAAGGATGCATACAACACAGTTTAATAAGGTTTATGAGAGCCTTTAAAGTTTTATAAATTCGATAATAAAATTAATAGAAAATACCAAAATACGTTAACATATAATTAAATGAAATTTGAAGAAAAGTTCAGTTCGAATAATAGGCTAAATCTGATTATTGAAATATCTACCCTTCGGTGACATAATCTATGACGTTATTAGAGAAAGAATAGAAAGAAATAAAAAAAAAAGAGGGACGGCGGATCGGCGGGCGCGCGGGAGTCGGTTTTTAGGAATTGCGCAATAAAGAAAAAAAAAAAAAAAAAAAAAAAAAGGGAGAAAAAGGGAAAATGGCGCGGGAGTCGTGTTTTAAGGAACTGCGCAATAAAATAAAAAAATAACTAGGATATAGATCTAGGAGGGACTGGTTCGATGAAGGGGTTTGAGATCTTAGTGTATCACTATGGATTAAGTGTGTGAAATTAATCAATAGAAGACTGGAGAATCCGGTGAGCTTGTTCCATTTATTACTACGTAGTTAGATTTTTGACTGTGATCACAGGCAAAGTCTATACTTAATATTTTTCCCAACAGCTATTAAAATACGTATTTAGTCGAGTCCATATACTTTTAGGTAATGCGTATATCGTTAAATGCAATCACATTTAAACAAAGTTTACATCAATATAATTTACGTACTTACGTTATTCTACTCATATACAAAATCCAATTATATGGTCGTTTGATAGAACTTCATCAATTTGATTCAATGTTCTAATTGTCCAGTTTTGGAAAATACTTATTGAATCAACTATTGAACTATTACAATACTAACTAGTTTCATATCTAGTTATTATAAAGTATTTATTTATTGAGGATAATAGACTGAAGTGACTGTGGTCTGGTCTCATTGCTGGGGAAACAGCCATTGATGAGAGAGAGGGGTTATTGAGTGGCGACCCTGTAAATGCAAGTGCGGTGTGGGCTACCTCCATTGTTTGGAGTGACTGTTTTATGTGTATTGTGGGGCCGTTCCTTGTGTCAGTCGGTGGAAATTGCCTGTGTTCAGTCGTGGGTTGGTGATGGTTGAGACGATGATGATGATGAAATATTTGTATTTATTACACTATTACAGTGTTGGTTTGGAATATCTGTTCATACTTAACGCTTCATGGTGAAGTGTTTTTATACCATTACTCGGTCGATCAGACTAATGATTCTTAAGTCTATATTTGATTACCCATGACTACATGTAAAGATTTGTTTTACACCAGATGTACAAAGAGACAGTTTAACTGTTGCAAGTGATTTTATGTGAATGTAATACTTTTAATACATTATTGTGTTAAGTAGATAAATTCATGTGACTGTGGGGTGTTTATGGTAAACAAGCCTGTATTGTGTAAATAGATATTTTGTCTTGATTTATTATAAACTTTAATATTGATTTTGTTGTAGTAAGCAAGCTGATAATAACAATTCTGTGTGTATTACTGATTACTAATAATATTTAATTATGCTGATATTATAGGTGTGGATTTAATTCCTAGTGGTAATAAAATTATCAAAGGATTCTCTGACTATAATTACTCTTAACTAGGTATGAGATACAGTATAAAATTAGTACTAAATGACAAGTGTGAGCTATGTATTTTACTAATATTTAGGAAGAAAGTTGTCATGGCGATAAGGTTTGTATGTGTGTTGTTTGTTCATGCTATATTGACTAGACAAGTTCAGATAGGGTTAAAATTAGTGAATCTTTATTGGATTTATATTTAATATACATATTTTGAATATTTATGGGAATAGAATGGAGATGTACAAGTAGTAAAATATAATATTAGTATTTTATAAATTTCATTATCGAGTTAGTTGTATATGTTGGGCTGTATCCAAGGAGATATGAACCTATTAATATCAAGTTAGGACAATTACTTTAAATATTAATAAAGCAAACACTAACACTGATTATTCACTTCTTTAATAAATTTACATTAGAGGTTAGAAATCAAATAGATAGCATATTGGGAAAATCTTCACCACACATGTATTTGAGGAATGTTCTTGATAATTAGTACTGTATGTATATATTATTGCAAGTACAATTGCAATAAGAATGTTAAACTTCTAATCTTCTGTTCATTCTTGAATTTGAAAGTAAGCTTGGCTACTGATATGAATATAAAACTGCAGCATTACTGGATACTATTAATTATTTCTGGTGTAAACCATGATTATTTATGTCACTGATAATTTAGTTGTATATTACGGTTGATATATGATGATTTTATATTTAATTATATTAAACAAATACAAATAAACAAACTTGCTAGTATTTGTTACGTTGACAGTTGTGATAGATAATCAAAATTCAATTCAATACATCAATACGTCATTCAATACGTCATTAATGTGACAGATGTCAAACAAAAGGAGATTATACACGTTATGATTCTATATCTAAGTCCATAGAAAATTTATATAATTTTCTGTTATTTTATAATAACTGTAGGGGAAATATTGGAATTATTTATATGAGAAATTTTACTTAAATGATATGATAATTATATAAAGACCTAATTTCTTAGGGATTTAATCATGATGATTTAAACACTAAAACACTTGTTTATCTGAGAAATCCTCTTAGTAAATAGGTTTACTAAGACACTAAAAGGAAGTAGATATAGTATAACTATAGTACAGCTACAATAATTGTATGGGACTTACTGTCCTTTCTATACAAATATATATTTAATATATATCTTTTACATTATAATTATTCAATATACATCTACTACTCAACATACACAAATAGGACTTATTGTCCTTCCTATATACCTATATATAATAATTGACCTGGCACTTTAATGTGTAATTTATCAGTACTTACGTCAACAACCAATTAGGACTTATAGTCCTCTCTATAAAGCTACATAATTATTTAATCTGATTATTTCACAATGTGATTAATCAAACCTCTACAAATATTACAAAAGATCTCTATTACTCTCAACACAATAATAGCTTGTTGGACTTAGTGTCCTCAAACTTATAGAAAACCCAACTGGTTATTTCACGAGACGTTGTTAACTTGTGATTAATCAGTGTCTTTTAGAGGACTTACAGTTCCTTTAGATATATCTCTCTAAATAAATAATTGGTTAATTCACAATGTGGTTAATCAACAATAATAATATTAAATATAATTGACTGGACTTATAGTTCATTCAATAGCACTCATTACTTTTAGTAGCTCTCGACCTATGGGTTGGACTACTCGTTCTTAGGCTCCGGCCTAATCAACAGATTTAACTTGAACCTTGAGTATTCTTGGTATTAAGTAAATAATATTAAATTGACAATGCTATGTTATGATATAGCAATTATCAACATTATATGGCTTGGCCAATTCCAGGGTGTGGAAGGTATCCCCTATCACACAAATCTTCATCTCTATCGGACTGTCTTCACAGGTGATCTCTAATGTCACATTATAGGGCCGAAGGGTTATGTCCCATCAAGGTAGGTTCTGGTGTCTGGGTGATCTCGCTTCTTGGTCTGATCTCTTGTGGAGCCGAAGGGAAACCCCCATTGAGTAAGCTCATAACAGGGTGACGCTGGGAAACAGTTTCGTACTGTTAGTGGGTGATCTCTATGTCGCCATATAGGACTGAAAGGGTCATCGCCCATGAGTAAGCTCTCGTGTCGGAGTGATCCTGGGATTTCAGTTCCGATCCGTTTGCCTCTGGCAAACACTGATTTATACTGGAAGCATCGTGGGGCTGGTGGAGCCACTGTAATGTTGAAATAAATGTACTTATGTTTGGTTTGGAACTGAGAATACTCATTCCCTTATTACCATCAGAGTGCATTAATAAATAGTAATACCCTTCCCTACCTTTTAGGAGGAAGAGTTATAGATAGTTGGAAAGTCTTCCACTGGTCCGGGCGTGTGAGGGGCCCGACCGCTCCCCCATTTTTTTATTATTACAGTTATTCTGTAATTTACTATTAAATTAATATATTATATTCTAACTTCCTAGTTACATGAATTATGAGTATAATTCATTAATTATTCTTAATCCTTAAATATTTATCAATCATCTTCATTATTTAACTCCTGTCATATACCAATTAAAGAACCTTTTGGTTATTACACACACAACAGGTCCTACATTACTAGACGATCACACATTTATTTATCTGGCCAAATGATCAAGTGTTCTGCTATAAGATCTGTTTAATATTATGTGTTTATTGTAAGGTTTTTTAAGATTCATAAGATGTTTAGGGTGTATAAGGTAATATAGGTATGGGCTATATTGAGGGTGTTAGGCCTTTCTTTAGGGTAGATTTTCATTATATTTTCATAGATTTCATTAGGTAAAGCCTTCGTAGGCTTTTCTTAGGCTTTGTA